AAGACGTCACCTTGGACTCTCGGAAATTACACTGGTTATTTACTATTTCTGACATTTAATTGACAAAATTATTATTATTTGAACTATTTTTATAGTGTTTTCAGGTGCTCTGTACCAAAGAAACACAACACTTGGGCAAAAAGTTATAAAAAGAACAACTAGGTGAGGTAAAGTAAGACATAAATAATTAAAAATAAGTCAATGGTAAGGTCAATATTAATTAATTAATATAATTGAAATAAAATTAAATGAATTGAATAATAATTGAATAAATAAGTAGATAAATGAATATAAACTAAATCAAAGGGGTGAAGGGGGGGTTGAAGGCCTTATTCAGTCAACCTGGCACATGGAAGGTTGGTAAAGTAAGGAACGGCTGCCATGCCTTGTAGTATTTTTTAATAGATCCCTGACTGTGATGTCTCAGCTCTTCTAGCTTTAGGTGTGCCGTCACCTCTCTCACCCTGTGAGCATGTGAAGGTGGAGCCCTGTCCTTCCACTTCAGGGGCATTAGTCGACGGGCCAGAACGGACACAAAAGCCAATTACGACAAAATGAATGATCTATTAACTGAGAATATAATGGGCAGATTAATCGATAATGAAAACTATCATTAGTTGCAGCTCTGATGTGTAGTCACTGATCCAAACATAGTGATCCTCCATTAAGATAAACAGTTCAGATACCAAATAAGCTGCTAAGAATAGGGATAGACCGATATGGATTTTTTAGGGCCGATGCCAATACCGATTTTTTTCCATCACCCTTAGCCGATGACCGATTATGGACTGCCGATTTTCTTGAGCCGATATTTGGGGCAGATACTGCTTTTGCTCCCTCAATTTACATCAAAAAATGACACAATGATAACAAATATTACAGGTCTCAAGTTTAAAATAAGAAACATTTATTGAACAGTAAAAAATACTAAAACAAGATGGAAAGTTGAGATAGAACAGGTAGAATATTATTATTATTATTATTATTATTATTGTTATACATTCAAATAAAAAAAGAGTTCAGTGCTCTTAAATCTTCCAGTAATGTCTTTATAAAATAAACAAATATTTAAGCTGAAGCATAAATAAAACAACAACTACTGTACACAGTAGGATTCAACAGCTTTGTTCAACTTAACCACATACTTTCAAATGAAAAAAGTGCCAGGGAAAAATAAATCTGCGAACCCACGCGCGTATCGGCCGATGCCAATACAAGTAAAAAACTCAAATATCGGCCCGATATATCGGCCAGCCGATGTATCGGTCTATCCTTAGCTAAGAACCAAGACTAGCTTTTAAATTCTGTACAAGACGAGGAAATTCACCATAACGTCAACTGTGCACTGATCTGTCAGAAAGAATTGGCCTGTTTTCCAGTAATCTTCAGCCTTGACAAAAAAGACATACTTTAAGGAAACCATTTCTCATATGAAAGTAATGACACAAAGGGTTTTACCATGGAAAGTTCTTTGTCATCAATCGAGTTTTGTCATAGAGGAACAGGGTAGTAAGATTTTGCACAAAAATAGAAAAAAGAAAAAATAGTACATGTTAGACAGAAAGTAGAAACAGGAACTTGTCTTAGGTTTCATTTTCTCCTCTCATTGGGACATGCTGAATTTCAGCAATACCATGAGGTTGACACTTCCTCAAAAATTACCCCAAATATATGAAAGCAGAGAGGTCATCACAAATAGCTGATCTTAATATAACCTTTACGAAATAATCTTGTTGACTAACCCCTTCTGTAAGGTCACTCTGATGCCCTGTCTAGTTTGTATAATATCCTCAAGCCTGCCACATGTATGCATTACCATTGTCACAAATATTTTCCAATTTATGTGCTCTCATAACTGAAGTAATCGGGGCTTGGTTCTCCTTGGTTACCCTCATAGCTCATGCCAGAAGGATTAAAGGCACATGGAAAGTAAAGCCACATATTTCTCATAGTGCAATGAGTGAGAAATTGACCACAATAAATTAACACTGTTGACATGGCGGTAACCTCAAGGCTTGAGATGGATTCCTGTAAGCATTTATACTTGTGTGGTGGTGTGTCTGTGTTGCTCTGCAGTTACACCTACAAAACACTAGTCGGCGGTTAAACACACATTAAACACACATTAAACATGGCTTAATAGAGACAATCTCAAACACAAGTACACAAATCAGCTTCACTATAACTCGCAGCATTCACAGACAAACACTTGTCTTTATCTGGACACATTTTCCCCACAAATACAACATGCTAACGTTGTTAGCACAAGCCTATGGCATTTCGCATTGTATGAATTAGCCTAGAAGCTAGTGGAATTTTCCTCTTCTCATATGAAGCCAGGGACAACAGCAACATTTAACAAAGGTAACATTAGAAAATTTCCAAACAAATGTAACATGCTAACGTTATTAGCACAAGCCTATGGCATTTTACATTGTATAAATTGGTTTAGTGGCTAGCGGACTTTTCCTGTGCTCATATAAAGCCTGGGACAAATTTGGCTCCTATTACGTCTCACAAGATTCACAGACAAAACTGTCTTATACTAAACATGTTTTCCAAACAAATACAACATGCTAACGTTATTAGCACAAGCCTATGGCATTTTACATTGTATAAATTAGCCTAGTGATGAGCAGAGGTTTCCTCTGCTCATATGAAGCCAGGATAAATCACACACAAGACTTAAAATGCTATTTTTGTGGAGGCTTTATTGTCTTCACAATTTATTGTTTCTTATCTGTGAAATTAAAGTAAGTAAAGCTTTGTTTCCACTGAGGGAAATGGTTTCAGCTTACAGAAATAGACAGGTGGTCTGAGTCGCCATGATGTGTAGTTACATTTCTGGGGAGGTGCACATCAGGCTATGGCGTAGGGTACAGCATCAATTTGATGTAGAAGTATAAATCCCATTTAAGTCTCCATTTTGAAAATGTGGTCAATACCCTTAAACAAAGTGCTGACCTCATCAGTTCTTGTGGTGCTTAAGTACAAGACTGTGGTAACTTTGGCTGAGTGTGAGTACAGGGAGTTAAATAATCTTCACTAGAGTTCAAAAACACACAAGAAACACACATCCGAGAAACCATGCACTTGACCAATCCCTCAAGGCCGTCTGTTGGCTTTAAATAATCACATGCTGCATGTCAGAATCTAAGTTGCAGGCTTGTTGTGATTGTGCAGCCGCTGTGTCTGTCTGTAGAAGCATTTGGTGCGAGGCACATCTGTATCTGGATATGCCATGATGAGGACACCTGCTTTAGACATATGCGAGAACCAGCCCTGTCTAACAGTGAAAACAGCCTTTGTGGAGAAGCTCAGCGACATTTTGTAAAAGAAGAGAGGTTAAAATTGTGCTATTTTCCACTGCGTGCACATGATTTGTCCTTAAATCCACAGCCAGAGTCTAGATATGTGTTTTCCATATAAGCCTGCTTGCCCTCATGCGCTGTCACTTCATTTCAGTATGGAATATTCCAAATATCTGAGGCAACCCGGCAGGTGTTGCCTTGTGTAGAGGGAGGTGCACACCATCGTCATTGCGATCACACGATGGAATTCATGTAGCCAGTTACGTCGGTGCTTTTGTGATTTCTTGTTCTGCGAGGAAAGCCAAGACTTTACTATGCTGCACCACCGCCCAGCGCTATTCAAGAACCATCAAAACAAGTACTGCAGGTTTGGGAACCTGAAGCAAGACATGACTTGTTGAGCCATCCATGAGTGCACACGTGCTCGTGTTTGTTTTCATTGATGTGCAGGTGTGTCTACATGAACCTGACCGACAAACGTCTTTCCCACATGAGGGCATTGTTATGCAGTGTTTCTGTAGTCAACTGATATTTTCTTTTTCATATACAGAACTTGTTTTACTTTTCCAGTCCTTTCAATTCTGTGCTCACAGTTTGTTTATATGTCATTAACCCATTTAATCCTGCCGGTAACAACAGCAACCGCAAAAGTTTTCAGTTATAAGGCTTTACAAATGTTACCGAATGATGTATCAATGCATTTCCAGCAGTCTTGATAAAATATGTGCAATGTCACAATGTCACATGAGACAAGGTTGCTGCCATACAAACCAATTTTAGCAACAGCAACAAGCCGAGATGCTGTCAATTAGGAAGTAGTCGCTTTGGAGACATTGCAAATGTATTGTCGTCTCGTTTGAGGACATTGGGACTTTATTGGTGTCTCGTTTGAGGACATTGGGACTTTATTGTTGTCTTGTTTGAGGACATTTTGACTTAAATATCGTCTTGTTTGAGGACACTGGGTATTATTGTCTCATGTGAGGACATTCGGACTTTATAATTGTCTCGTTTGAGGACATTTTGACTTAAATATCGTCTTGTTTGAGGACATTGGGTATTATTGTCTCATGTGAGGACATTGGGACTCAATTATCTTCTTGTTTGAGGAGATTGGGGCTTATTTATTGTCTCATTTGAGGACATTGGGACATTATTGTCGTCTCATATGAGGACATTGAGACCTTTATTGTTGTCTCATATGAGGACATTGGGAATTAATAATTGTTTTGTTTAAGGACAGTGGAACTTTATTATTGTCTTGTTTGAGGACATTGGGACTTTATTATTGCCTCTTTTGAGGACATTTTGACTTAAATATCGTCTTGTTTGAGGACACTGGGTATCACTGTCTCATATGAGGACATTGGGACTCAATTATCGTCTTGTTTGAGGACATTGGGACTCAATTATCGTCTTGTTTGAGGACATTGGGACTTTATCGTTGTCTCATGTGAGGACATTGGGGCCTTTATTATTGTCTCATATGAGGACATTGGGACTCTATTATTGTCTCATTTGAGGACATTGGGACTTTATTATCACTGACAATGATTAGTTTTTTGTACTCAGCAGGTCCTACTGATCCCAACTAATAAAAATAAAATAGATAAAAAAATGTGTACCAAAGTGATCGACCTTTGACACTGACATTTGACCTTCTTTCTTCTCTTTCTCGCCATTTTCCAGGAGAAACAGGACCCAAGCAGCACGTCCCTGCAGCTCCGCACTGAGATCCAGGTAAGCGGAGAAACCATAAGCCTCACAGTGTCAGTTTTACACCTTGTTTGGCTAAGAAGTCAAGCTGACACCTGTCTCCATGTTCTCTCTGTCCACAGGAATCATTAGGCTTCAGCAGCGAGGTGTCGACTCCAGAAACAGACAGAAAGTACGTTTTCCCCCCCCTTCACTTAATCAGTGTAACATGTGACCGGAGCCGGTGTGGAGCCATGAAACACGCTTGGATTGAAATGTGTGTCTGTTGCATGTCAAAACAATGTGCGGCGCAGCCTGCGTCTGGATCGCATCAAACCATACATGCCTGCACACACAGTCATGGATCACACTCGGCCTCTCTGTGTGTCAGCAGCTAAAGATGGAGAGAGGCAAATGGAAATACACGCACCTCATGTGATTGATAGGGGGAGTAGAGGTCGAGCTCCTCAGGTGGAAAACTTCATGGATGAGTGTGGTGGTGTGTGAGTGAGGAATCAGCTATGTCTGACCTTGGCTGGAGACGTAGTTGAACATACAGACACAACAGCCACTAGTTAACAGGTATATTCCCCCATTTTGCACCTACTGCAGGTGTTTACCAAGACAAACAATAAAACAATACCTAATAATATCAAGGTGGCACCTACGAAGTGAATATAAAGGAAATTAACTCTAGAGATTCATAGACATCACACGCATGACCTGTGGTGGGTCCCTTAAGCTCCTTTGCTCACATCCCTGCTGTGGTTAAAGGAAACCCACTGACTGCTTCCTTCGGCTGACCTGCTCAGTCTCGCAGCCATTCTCTGTTCCCTGGCCGTCCATGCTTCCTTCCTGCCTTTGTGTCCAGCAGGGGAGAGTGGCGGTAGAGGTGGTGGTGGGGGAGGCGGGCAGAGAAGGGCGATGGCCAAATGATTACAGCAAAGGAGCATGAACGAAAGAGCAGGATGGAACTGAGCATGGGTGGGGTTCCTTTTCACTGGTTCCTGTAACACAAAGTGCGTGTGTTCATGTTCGCACGCCGCTGTGTTGTGCATGTATGAGATTTCTCCACCATTATCCACCATGAGATCATTGCTATACATATTTAAAGCGATCCAAATTGGTCGGCAAAACGGCGCCATAAATGCCCTTCTGTCAAACTGGGTTTAACTCACAGCACTCACACACATTTGGCCCCTTTAAGGACATTGCGTTGCCTTATCTCTGTTAAATGAGACTAACTGGGAGTCCCCATTGGTAGCGAGAGCAGACATAGTGGCACATAGGTGTCTTGTCATCCAATCAACACTGACTCCATCCTTAGAACTCCATTAGTCGACTAGTCGCCCACATGTTTATGATATTAATGTAATTATTAAATGATATATTTTGGGCTGGGCAACACAATGGTTTGAGTTCAAGGTGTGAGAAAGAATAGTATCAGTAACATTGGTATGTAGCTACTTCCATGTTTCAGAAGATCCGTCATGTTTGTCATCAGTGAATGTAGATGAATTCAGGTATCACCTTGGGTTCGTCCTTCACCTTCTCAAAATGATCCCACACTTTCAATTTCCTGCCCAACAAATTGCTTGCAGTATAAATTGGCCTTTTGGTCAAAAACAAACTCAAATGTTTCGTACAACAAAATGACTAATGGAAAATTCTAAACAGAATATATCGCCCATTGGTGGTGGCCAAAAAACCCCCATCGCATTTAAAGACGAGGTTAAGTGGAGCTGAGTGGATGGATGGATTAGTGCAGGAATTTGGGGCCCCTTCAAACCCCAACGCCATGTTTTCCAGGGCCAAAGGTTAAAAGAATCTCACCATGACTCAGAATTGACCTCCTCTATCTCCATTTCTACAAATATTTCTTCTACTTGCTCCTGGCCGTCACCCCTGCGTGACCCCCAGTGGAATCGTCATGTTCACGTGACAACCACGTGCGGCAGAGGAAGCGCATACCACAGACATGATCTCTTTTCCCATGGCTGTATATGTTGCACAGACAAATGCTGTGGATGATGGGAACCAGATGCCACATGTCCAATGACGTCTCTCCGCTGTTCTACAGAGGCCCAGAAAGAAAGAGCCCCTAACATCTTCCTGTCAGTCTGGTTTCTCTCTGTCCTCTGCGCCTCACATCCACGTCCCTCATGAACATTCAGACTTTGTCTCACCTTGAGTCTTCAGTTAATCTCTAATGAAACTGCTTCACATTCACCCGTTTCTTCACCTCTGTCGTTTCCACTCTTTCTTCTATTTATTTCTCTCCCCACAAAGCCCCAGACTCCATTTCTGGTGTGACAGTCATATATGAAGAGCCTGTGTTTTTATCACTTTTATCTAATTAATCTGGTCTTTAAAGATTTTATTCTCAGGGACAAGACTTTTTTTTCATAATCCATCCCTCCCTGCCAGCCCCACTCCTCTCCTCTGCTCTCCATTACATCGCCTATTGTCCATTCTCCACTGTAGTGAATGGGTCTCAGGTAGAGTGATTTATCATGTGCAGGCAGAGTGATAGACAAGCCCCCTCCATTCCTCGCGACACATTCCTCACCACCTCAAAAGCGGCACGTGTGCACGCTCACACGCACAGACGGCGGATACCCCCATCATCACCTCCCTGCAGGACAATAGCGACCAGAGGAGATTACCCAGACTTCATCTCGAGGCTGTGCCACCCTTCTCTGCCTGTGTGTCTCCATGCACTGTGTCGGCAGGAGGAGGGCACAGCTCCCATAATGCCTGGTACGCAAGTGGCGATGACAAAGCGCTCTTAGAAGGTTGAGGGGTTCAAGTTGGGGACTTCCTGTTTTGAGAGGTGACTGATTGGCGGGTATTGTTGCAGAGAGGGAGGCAGCCAGCTTATCGGCGTAAATGTTTTTTTTCCCCACTTTGTTTCTTGAATTTTCAAGTTGGACAACATTTACAGGATCATTGCACATAGAAATTGTTTGGCAAAAATGTTAAAATACAACATTAACAGCAGCAACACAAGATAAACAAAACTGACAAAACAGATGCAACAGCACAAAAATCAAACCAGAAAACAACATTTTAAAACAGGAGTTGACAACTTGATCAAAAACAGTCCTTAGCTCGCTTGGCAGCCGCATGTTGTATTTGTGGGGAAAATGTGTCCAGATAAAGACAAGTGTTTGTCTGTGAATGTTGCGAGTTATAGTGAAGCTGATTTGTGTACAGAAATTGTCTCAATTAAGCCATGTTTAATGTGTGTTTTGGGTGTTTTTTGACTCAACTAAACTTTACAGCACTTCACAGAAACCCCGCCGCTGACTAGTGTTTTGGAGGTGTAACTGCAGAGTGACACAGACACACCACCGCACAAATCTAAGTGCTCACAACAGCATAGGCCTCATCGTAGACCTGACGCACAAATATAAATCATGCTAAAGGGCCTGTTATGGAGGAGTGATCAAAAGAAGACAGTGACGCCAGTGTAGATGAAGCAAATTCCATCTCTAGGAAATTGGAAATGGGGAAATTTCTCTGTATTGCAACCAGAACTGAATCACCCTAAGATTAGCAGCCCTATAATAGGACCTGAAGTCAGGTAACCCCTAACTCCATCTGATTTAGATTGGTGGTTTTCGTATCCTGGGAGTCCTATTGCATCATATAAAAGATAAAATGAAGCGGTAAATGGATCCTGATGAAAGCACACATGTGCTCAGACACATGTTGATTATTGGCTCTAACAGGGTTTGTAAGATTGCACATGTTAGAGGCAGTCTTGCTGCTGGAAGCCCGGCTTATGCAACTAATAATCAGATGGAAATACGCCGTGCCATGTGAAGAATCTGTTTAGAACAACAGTACCATGTTGGAAAACTAAAATACCTTGTCAGCACTTGTGGCTGAGTGTTGCAGCCCTCATGGGACTGTTATTTGCCTCTGAGAGCGGAGCACTGTAGACTGTGTGTGTGTGTGTATGGCAGGAGGATACATGCAGTGTTTCAGCTGTGTGTGTTTCATCTGTCTGATTTTCTATTTCCCTGCCACACCATCCTCTGTCTTCCCCTTCCATGTGACCTCTGACCTCCTCTGTGACCCCTGAAGAGGTCACCCCTCGGCTTTTCCTGTGGACGCCGCCGCTGTCGCACAGGGTTGCTGCCTTTCATTGTCTCAAGCAGAACACCGGAGATCACCTCGCTCCAGGTGGCCAGTTACACAAAATCACACAGCAGCCATACACACATGTACATGTGTGTGCAGTGCGGTCATTTCTGCTGAGTGCACAGCTGTGTGTCCAAATCTGGCTTTGTGCTGGTTTATCATCTTTCCTGGACAGGAGCCCTGTCACACAGGATGCTCACCCTGTGATTCACACAGCATCATATGATCGCTCCTTATGTAATCATAACTCATTCAGTCATCCCTTTTTCCCTGATGCTGATATCTTATCTTTTACACCCAGGAGTTTGTGTGAGTGTGTTTATGCTTATGCAACTCCCACATTTTGTTTTACAAGATTACTTGGGTGACACCTCTGCAGTTGCGCCGGATGTTTTTAAGGGCCCTGACACACCAAGCTGACTGTAGGCCATCTGTTAGTCTCTCTCGCCCTAGTTTTTGGGGTGTGTCCTGCACCATTGGCACTAGTCAACCTTTGTCAGCCATTTTTCAGCTGGGTCAGCATGTTGGATCAGTGTTTGACCCGGCAGAGCCAGACAATGAATGACATCACTCTGATTGGCAGCTCAGCTCAGTGCACGTGAAGAGAAATGGAAGTGAGGAAAGTAAACAAACGACTAAAGTCAAGAGGGGGTGGGATTGAAACAAATATGTTACATTAGGTAAGATTATTATTATTTTGCCACTGAGCTCTTTAGCAGAAATACTTCATATTTTTTACTGTTGGCGAGGGCACGGTAAATATCCTTCGTTCGTTCAACACTGGGTTGTGTTGTTTATGTGCTAGTTGGCTAAATATCATCTTAAATACATCCCGTTGGTCTTGCAGTTTCCTTCTTTAAATGCCGATTAAAGAATACCACTGCCTGCTGGTTTGGAGTTATTTCCTCTTATGCAGGGGCAGAACATACCTGTTAGTTGGCCATTGGCTGTTGTCTTTGGGGTGTGTTTAAGTACATCCTTACTGCAGGATTTTTACATCTGCATTGAAATGACACTGTACTTAAGCCGTAAACTACGCCATAGCCTGATGTGTGTGATTTATCCTTCCAGGATTTATACGTCCTGATTTATCCTGGCCTCATAGTAGAGGAATGCTCCACTCGTCGCTAGGCTAATTTATATAATATACACGTTAGCATGTTGAATTTGTTTGAAAATCATGTTTAGTATAAGACAGTTGTTTTGTCAGTGAACCTTGTGAGTTGTAATGGAGTTGATTTTGTAACGTTACCTTTGTTAAATGTTGCTGTTGTCACTGGCTTCATTTGAGTATAGGATAAGTCTGCTAGCTGCTAGGCTAATTTTCACAATGTATAATGCCATAGGCTTGTGCTAAAAGCATGTTGTATTTGTGGGGAAAATGTGTCCAGTTAAAGACAAGTGTTTGTCTGTGAATGCTGCGAGTTATAGTGAAGCTGATTTGTGTACTTGTGTTTGAAATTGTCATTATTGTCACACTCCACAGAAACCCCACTGCTGACTGCTGTTTTGGAGGGGTAACTGCAGACACACCACTGCACAAGTATAAATGCTCACAATGGTGTAGGCTCTGCATTGAACTGACGCACAAGTGTAAATCCTGCTTATGGCTGAGACACAGGTGACATGAAACAACGCAACAGTTGGCCTTTGTCGCCACTTGTTCTTTGATGTCGGTTAAGTGTTTAGAGGCCTTCACACACTTACAGCTATAACACACAGAAGTAGAGCCTCATGCTAGAGTATAGACAGTATTATAATGCTTTACATCCCAGCCAGGGAATGCACGGTCAGACGACTCAACATGCAGTTCACTCATGGCTCCAGTGGCCTCAGTTCATGTTATAACATTTAACATTTTCACAATGCAGGAAATCATGAAAATAAACTTTCACCTACCCTACACAGGTTCAGCCAAAGTTTAGATACTGTACTTAATATTATGCAAAAAATAGAGAGTTGGCTTCTTATGCTAATAGGATCAAAAAACGCAGCAAATGCCCCCGACTCAATGCAAAGAATAGAAGGGAAATAGAAAGGCATGCCAAAGATTTAAGGTTAAACCAATTAAGTTGCCTGGCCACACAATGCCCGGACTGACACCCTCTCTGAAAGACATTCAGGCTTTTTTTAAAAGTGTGTGAGTGCGCGGATGAGCGCGAGTGCATGTATGTGTGCGCTGCACGGGAGGTTAATTTATAGAGCATGGAGGAGAGGGGTTGGCAGAGCGGAGGAGAGTGTGGAGGATGCAGTGCCGCCACAGAAAAGCCTCCATTGAGTGAGTTCTATTAGCATTAGCTTTGGCCTTAGCCTGTCTGAGAGGGAGGGGGGGTGAACAGAGGGGCAAACCATACAGGCCTCCATTCAATTAGCATCTCATTATGTTGCCATGGCAGCTGGGCTTTAAGCCACGTGAAGATTTCCAATTGCGCCAAGAGAGGGCTGCCATGTCTGAACAAACATATGAGCACACATGCACACACACACACATACGCAGCCACTGGAGAGGGAAGTGACCTGTTCGTCTTGTTTTGATCCTGTCACACACTTTCACTTCGCTTCACTGGCAGCCACCTGTCTGTCTGCGCGGCTCAGCAGCTGTACGCTCATGTGCACCGGGCTCCAGCTACAGAAGGGTGTGTGAACGTGTGCAAGAGGAGTGAGACAGTTAACAGAGAGATTTATTTAATAGATCTCTGAGGGTCGCAACTGGACAAAAAACGTGCCGTTCTTATCCACCCCCCCCCCCCCCCCCCCCCCCCTCACCCCCCCCCCCCCCCCCCCCCCCCCCCCCCCCCCCCCCGATTTAGTCTCTTTTAATTGAAAAAGCACAAAAGCTTACAGTGTGGAGCCGCTGTTACACACATGAACACACCTGTAGGGCGTTATCTGCACACATAATCACCCTGAAGCTTCACTTCCTCTTCCTCCTTTTTCTGCAGCCCACTTACCCAAATCTGAAACCAAAGTCTCATCTTCTGTGAAGTTTCAGCAGCTGTTTTGAACATAAACCTGCTGAAGCTCATCCCCCTTTTTTCACATAAAGAATACAGAAATAGATCGCAGTTGATGTGGTTTCTCGCCTCCTCCACAACAAGAAAGAGTCGGCCGCTAGAACATGGGGTGAGGTGTCTCATCGACAACTTTCTGATTGGAAGCTGAGTGCAGTCAATGTGTCACAAGTTGTTATTTTCTTTGTGTTGGTACGGGTTATTTGGGAGGGCTTATAGATATATCAGGACTTTTTTTATACTCAGTTATTTTCCATCTCTCCCTCTCTCATGCTCCCACTCTTCCCTCTGTCTTCCTCGTGACTGTCTCTTCTGTGGAGGGAAGTGGAAACACAAACAGGCTGAGTCTGCCCTGTGGTTTCTCCTCCTCCTCCTCTTCCCCCTCTCTCCTTCTATTCCTCTCTTCCTCCACACCATACTTTGCCTCTTCCCTCTCACATGCTTGTTTCCTTCATCTCGTCGACCTTCCTCTTGTCTTTACCGATTCTTAAACCCTCTGTAGTGCCACCATCACCATCTTCATCTGACCCTCTTGTTTTTGCGACGGGTGTCATTGTCGACATCATCTCCTCTCCTCTCCTCTCCTCTCCTCTCCTCCACCTTCTCCCTCTCAAGCCTCAGGAGCCTGGCTCCGTTGTCACATAAGCACCACCACTGACCCCAAGTGGTGAACAGACAGAACTGCAGCCGTCATTGCCAAAAATGAACGCTCATAAACACAGTTACAGTGTTTTGAAGCTCTCTGGTTGACAGAGACTGGAGACTTTAATGTGAGAGTTGGGACTTATATTTTTCTAATGGTGATACTTTATTTCTTTTCCTTTTTCTCCCAGAATGCCCCTGCACAAATCCAGCTCTGAAGATGGATCCGGAGGTAAATTGAGATGCATGTTTGTCCTCTGCTGTCTTTATATGTTTGCTGTAATATTAACATTTATTGATCCCTAGGGTGGGATTAGAAGATAAGAATATGTTTGGGCCTAAGGATTGTACTTCCTGTACACACTGATGCAAGAAATAGAGGAATGGTTTATAACCATGCAAACATTTGCCTCTACTGAATAAAGGTAGTTGAGCTTGCAGAGCAGAGAATTGACTTAATCTTGCGATTGCTTTTCTGTGGCCAGAAACCATACAATTTCTGGGGAATCTTGGTGTCTAGTTTTACATCGAGTGAATGCATCCCCCTAAGTTAGTAGCCCAAACAATGCAGCCATAATGCTGCCCCAGATTTTAGACAGCATGCCGGTATTCCAGGAGCAAAAGAGGCATGACCTGTAACACAACAGCATCCGCCTTCTAGTGTGACAAGTAACATATTTATCGACAGCGCTTTATAAACATTAAGAGTAGCACAACATGGCAGTACCAATCATTTACCATCCTTGTTATATGGTGGCTGATCTACACCCTTTTTCCATTGGCACTCTTGGCCAAGTAAAGCCATGCCGAGTGATTTGTGTTTCCATTGTCAGTTTTGATGCGCCATGCCACGCCAGAGATGGACCTTCTCAGTACTAGGTCCAAAAGCCGGGCTGCCTGCCCTCAAGTGGGTAGCAGTGACTCCTCGACGACCCCACTTAACTCTAACAAGCGGTTGTTGTTAGACATTACTCACCTCTGTCTGCAGGAGTCCAAAGAGAAAGGTGGCCTAAACCAAACCAAGCCAAGCTAGCCCATGACCGTTGAAAAGGGGTTCTCTGACGGCGACGAGCCCCCGGAGCTTATAGTCTCCCCAGTTTGCAGACATTTTCTACTGCTGGTCTTAGAGTTAGTTGCTAACTGCTTTTTAAGTCTCATGGCAGTGGGTCGCATGTATAACACATGGTCAAAACGTTACACCCATTCTGTCCATTGTCCCTTCCTGCTGGCTGTCCCTTTGACACAGACATTGATCTTTTCTAAAGAAAGAGTAGACGGAATAACAGCGCTGAAATGAACGCCTAGAGCAGGCAGTGTAAAAGGGACTTATGTTTCCGAAATGGGGGTCTGGGTATCCCTATCCATATTTAATACTCAGTACTCCTATTCTGAATCATTAACTGCTGTTTACTTATGCAGCAAATGCAATGCAATGTGTGTTTCTACCAAAAATGTTTAGCGCTGGCTAGGGGTTACTCAGATGAAAAGATATATGAAAGGGGGTACACTGATGTTTGAGAACCCTTGGTGACCAAATCCGATCTCTCTTTAGGTAAATGGGACAATAAGAAGAAGAACAAGTCTTTTTGGCAGAACTTCCGCAAGTCCCAGCACAAACCAGTCATGCGACAGACATCCAAAGGTGTGTGTGGCTTTATTTTTTCAGATCTAATACACTGAGTAAATGTTGCTGCGTATTTGACCCCCGTTCCCTTTGCACCCTCCAGGAGAGGACATAGGCTACGTGGCCAGTGAGATCACCATGAGCGACGAAGAGCGAATCCAATTAATGATGATGGTGAAAGAGAAGATGATCACCGTTGAAGAAGCTCTAGCTCGGGTAGGAAGCTCCGCTGACTTCCTGCCTCATCAGTTGACGCACCTTCCTCCCCCCAGCCTCACTCGACCCCTCTCCCTTAGATCTGCCGGTCTGCAGGCTCCCTTCAACCCCCAGATCGCCTCACCTCCCCGTGGATCATTTCCAGTCTTCTGTCCCTTCTGCTCCATATTCCCACCGTAGCTTTGGCTTACTAAAACGACTCACCGTTACTAACCTGTACGAGGCCCCGCATTTTAACCCTGCATTGTCCTTTTTACACACACACACACACACACACACACACACACACACACACACACACACACAAACTCCAGGCCGGTGGTGTTTCCAGAGGTTGAGGAGTCTGGGGATTTTAGGGTGTGAGCTCTTGGAGTGTGTGTGGGTGTGTTGTTCAGTTCATAATTGCGAGATTGATGGTCATAGTAACTCAACAGCCCCATCTGTTGGGGGGGATGCTCTGGTGCATTGTGGTTTTTCTCTCTAGGTGGACATGGTGGATAATTACTTGGCTTTCCTTTCAATCTCCTTACATTTCTCTTTGAATCAGTTTCTGGTGATTGTTCTTTTTTTATTTGCCTACAACTTCTTTCTGTCTTTCTCTTTCCTTCTTTCCTGTCAATCACCTCCTGTAATGCCTTGCTCATGGGTAGCATGACCGTCCAGCAGCATTTGAGCACTGGATTGCTCTCCACAAGGCAAATGTTAATTATCTTCTTACCATTTTTCCCCTGAAGAACTTTGATTTTCTTTCGGACATTAGCTTGATCCCAGCTTCTTGCTCTAGTGATGACACTCAGTTAAACCAATCAATGATCAGCCTTTTGTGGATAGTTGTTTTGACTTCCTGTTGTGCTTGTGTGTCTTTATTTAGTCTCCTCTGTGCACCACTGATTAGTGTCATCATATAGAATACTGTCAGTATAGTGATAGGTAATATGTGTGTCCAGCGATGTAGTGAACTGTAAACCTCATCAAATAAAATCTGCCTTCCACTCCTCTTTTTTATTTAAAGGGACAGTTCACCCCAAAATCAAAAGTACATATTTTACCTCTTAACCGTAGTGCTATTTATCAGTCTAGATTGTTTTGGTGTGAGTTGCCCAGTGTTGGAGATATCAGTCATTGAGATGTTAGATGGCACTCAGTTTGTGGTGCTCAAAGCGCCAAAAAAAAAAATACATTTGAAAAACTCAACAGCAATGTCTTTGTCCTAAAATCATGACCTGGTTACTCAAGATAATCCACAGACCTTGTTGTGAGCAGTTTTATGTAGGAACTATTTTCTTTCAACCAAACTACACCTGCCAGCTGTATCACTGCGCAGAAGGAAGCGTGCATCTACTGCTAGCTCTCCTAGCACCACTAAGCTAGCTAACGTTACAGCTCAGCCAGAGAGGATGCCATTAATGTTTACATCTCACGCCATCACAAGCATGAGCGTTTATGAGTAGATGCACACTTTCTTCTGTGCTGTGATTTGATTGGCAGGTGTAGTTTGGTTGAGAGAAAATAGGGCTGGGCGATATAACGACTGTGTACAATATATCGATTTTTTTTTTAAGGAAGATATAAATTTAGAGAACACTGTTTATATCGATAAAGGTTCATGTTGCGTTGCATAACAGACTCTACAGCATTACAGGTAAGCGTTAAACTGAGTATTTTTGATTTAGGGGTGTTCTGTCCCTTTAAGACTTTTGTGTGAAAAGCAGACATAAAATCATTCTACACATTAAAGAAGGCTGTTTACAGGAATAGGATATTTTAAGAAAACTGAATGCTTTTCATGAAACATAACTGACTTATAGTTCAGTTTTACATACTTTACAGCGCAGACTTTGTATTTACCACTACATCACTGGTTGTCGAGTCCTTCTCCTCTGTCTGTACACATGCACTGTGAATGCACGCGACTGACGCCTCTCAACTGTGTGTTAGCATATGGAGAGACGTAGCATGCCGGGTGAGAGTGGCCCTGTTCCTCTGCCTCTCTAAACTTTTCTTCTCCACGTAGCTGAAGGAGTATGAGCGCAGCAGACAGTCCAGCAGTACTGACACTGCAGAGTGGACTGAAGGATCTGCAGCCAATCTAAACCAGTCCTCAAACTGCAACGTAAGTACAGCCCATCCCTTTACCCCGCCCACCCTGACCTCCCCCTGTTTGCTCTACCTCTCTTAACACTCTCACCTCGACCACTCTCACCTTTAAGTTTGATTTTTCAGCTGAGGAGGTTGTGGAGCAGGACGGCCGTTGTTTTGACGTGTGTGTGTGCATGGATGTGTGTGTTTATCCAGATGTAAAAGTTGTTTTTCTAGCTTGACGTCTAGACTTTACAATCTGCCTTTAGATTCATTCAACATTCATTCAACTTCTATCTTGCCTCCCTCTGCCTTTATCTCCCCTTCTCTCTCTGGTCTTCACTCACTGGCCAAACTTCAAGTCCGCCTGTGCACATACATCCTCTCCACCATGTCATGTGCATCTTGATACGTTGGGTGTTACCTCTGTGAATCTTGGCCCATCGATTACCTCGTTATTCAGAGGCTGCGCCCACGAGTTGGCAGTCACAGTCAGATATATGCAGTATGTTTCCTCTTCCATATTTTAATCATCAGGTTAGCTCTGTCGTGGGCATTTGAAAAATGTCCTTGACAAAGTTAAAATTGGCTGCTTTGGTGACAAGTAAATTGTTTTATGGAAATTTAGGTCAGGTCTGTTCCCATCAATCAGTTGTAATTGTAACTTGCAGAAAGCCAAGTGGAGAGTCATACAGAATCTACCCGAAACCCCTCGTGATGAAGCTCTTGTTAGCAGTGATTTTGTCAGCTGTGATCCACGGAGAGACGGCCTCCAAACCTCCCCGGTCACCTTTTGAGTGGGTCGAGACCTTTGGGGATTCTTGGTAATGTTGTGAAGCTGGAGCTCAGACAATCAGGTTTCTGTTGGACACAGTGATGGTGTGTCTGCTCCTTATGTCCTGCGTGTGTTTGCATATGTTGATGTGTTTTTTTCCCTTTTGTGAATGTAGGTCAGCCCTGATTCAGATTCAAAGTGGTCACGGCGGCTTTTCATTAGTTCTGTACTGTATCACATCATATGGGAATAGCATGCAGTCTCACACACTGACCCACTTTCCTCTACAGGAAATGAGTTTATCCAAACACAAAAAAATTCCAAGTTCTCTGGAAATAATCCCCCTGCGCATATTTATTATTGCTATTTGAAATGTGCTACTAATTCCCAACTAAACAGCGCTGACATTTTCTAAAAACAGCCTCTTGCACATACTGTAATCCACTTTATGCACCTACATGCATGTGCATTTCATGTTGGTATTGTTAAAGGAAAACTTCACCGTGACCATTTGTGCATCATTTACTCCGACTGTTTATAGGGCTGGGTTAAAATAATCGATTCATCCGATTCAAAGTTGATCTTCATTTGAATGACCTGATATTGATTCATAAAATCCGACATTGATCTTGTAAAATATACTTTTTCCCAGGGATGTGTGAAGCTTTAACCCTGTTAATCTCGCCAGTATTAAACTAATTTTATAACGACTACAGTCTTTAGAAGCTCCGACATTACCGGCTCTTTTATCTGTAGCCTAAGTGTTAGCTTACTGTTTTAACGTTTTGGTGTAATTTATTATCATGCTACAGCAGCCTCTCCTCCTGCTGTCTGTGCATCGAGGCTGCTGTTTCTCGTAAAACTAATTAGCTCTCTGAGAATCTCTTTGACGCACTAGCAAAAGTTGCTATTGTAACTGAAATATCCCTGATTGAATCAATAACAAATTGAATCGAACCTCTTGAATCAAAATCAAATTGATTCAGGTAATCAGTGGCAATACCCAGCCCTACCTTTTTACATTGAGTTCGTGAATAAAAAAAGTTTTTCCCTCACATGCTTCCAGTGAACGAAGAATTCAAAAACGGAGAAAATTCATAGGGGTCGGCATTTACAAAACATCAATTTACAAGCTTTAATGCGACTCGTGCAGTATAATTCAAGTCTTATTTATCTGGTCGTACACTCAGTACTTCACAAACAGACGTCCCTTTCTGACGGGGAACTGAACTTTAAGTGAAACTTATCTATGCTCTCTTCAAAGCCAGACTCCATTGACAAAAACGTTAATTTTACCTCACTGAACACAGGAGCTGCTGGTCTACTGCTGCCGTGCTTTGTTAGTTTGTTTGTGTTATTGTGGGACTTTGGTGCTTTAAAGGGTTAGCTCTGATTTACTGAAGTCCGACAATGACACAAACAAACAAACTGGTTGAGGCAGTGGTAGACCGGCAACTCCTGTTTTCAGCAAGGTGAAATTACTCATTTTGTCAATGGAGTCCGGCTTTGAAGAGAGCACAGGTAAGTCTTTTCAGTTCCCCATCTGTTTTGGAAGTACTGAGCATACGACTGGATAAATGAGACTTGGATTACACTACATGAGTTGTTTGAGACTTTGTAAATGGACTTTTTGATGTAGTTTTGCTGTTGTTTAACAGGGACTCCTATGATGAATTTTCTCAGTTTTTGGATTCTTTGTTCACTGGCGACATGTGAAAAACACAAATTCAACACAATGTTCGTTGAGTAATTGAAATACAAATGGTCATTTGGGGGTTGAAGTATTACTTTAAAGTAAGTGGAAATTCGGACCTACAGCCTTCACACAGATAAAGCTGTAGCTCCTTCAAAGGGTTACATTTCCATAATCACAATTTCTTTCAAGTGTATGAATACGCTTCAGTGAGAGATGCTTGACTTTTACGCATTCAGAACTGCCTCGCTACTCTTCAACATCAGTAGTTCTATGGTCTGCATTCATAAAGTCAAGTAAATCAGATCTACATGTCTGTTAGCATAACTGAATCAGTGAAACCATGAATGAGGACTCATGCAAAATACTTTCGTAGTCAAGGGTCCTTACTGGATTATTCTTCTGTGTAATGATTGATGATTTCCTCCCATAAGAAAGATAGGTTTGTTATGCCATACATTACCTCTACCTATACGTTTTGTCTGGCTGTTTGATATGGGTGTGTGTCATCTTACAAGTCTGTCAACCTTCAAGTTACCCCTCTGCTGCCAGCTGCTCACTTCCTGTGGGGAGAGGAGTGATCGATTGGGGGGTTTCACAGACAGGGGAGAGGATGGAAGAGTTACTGAAGGAGTATTGTGTAGAGGAACACACAACTAGGCTCTGGAGGCTGTGAACATATGCAAGAGCTGGAGGCAGCGAGGAAACAAGGGAGAGAGAAATAGAGAAGATAAAGAGTTTGCACTTACCCTCAGGCCCTGAATAGGGGGGGAGTTGTGTCCCCTCTTGCCCCAAGTTCCAAAATTGGCCACTTCAGGAAATATTGCTGCTCTGCTGGGACCTCTGTTGCTGTCACGTACTGCCCCCTCTCCCCTCTAATGAATGGAATTAGGTCATCCCCAAATTCAGATAACAGTTTAGCGTGTCTGTGTGCGCCTTTATATACGGACATGTTAATATACAGCTCATGCTTGTAGCTGACATGTTTGCAGTATACAGTCTGTGGCCGCTCTGTGCCTTTCTTTGATGCTGTCTTTCTCCGGTCTGTCTTCCTCCGGCGATCGGAGCCCACATTCCAGGGCTGGCCATTAGCAATGTTGGGGCCAAGGCAGGGTCAGAGGGGCTCAAACGCTGGGATTGTTCTCCACGCACAACACGCCTTTTCTCTGCTAGCTGTGCGGCACGGCACTTCAGTCTCTCATTCCTCGGAGCTGAATTCACTTAAAGCTGCATCTGTATCTGCCAGCATGTGCACACGGGCACGGATATTATTTTGGATCGTGCATGCGTGAGATTGCGGTCGGCACGCTATGGATTTGCAGGACCCGCTCTTGCTAACCTGCTGGATGTTAACACAGAACGCCTGCTGTTTTAAACGAGGTGGTGAGTTTTAATTTGCTCTAAACTGATTGTTTCTTTTATGATTGTTCTTGTTTTTGTGGTGCAGAGTGACAGAAAGATTTTGGTGCATCATGAGGATGTTTGCAGTTTTCTAAGTTTAACTGCATCTCCAAAGTTATGGGAACGATCCTCAAAGTAATCTGTGAAGTGAAACAGTAATTGTGGCTGTGGAATTGTTGCTTTGACCTTGTTTTCGATGGAGGCCTTTCAGCCCAGCTTGATTCATGGCCTCCTATGTCTGGCTCTTTTTATGTGTGTGCATCGTTTCCCCTGTTTATGTGGTCATTTGCATGGATGGTGTTCCTCAGGACTGGGTTGGGACTTATATATCATTGTCACGGCTTTAACATCTCCTAGTTCTTTTCCCAGTCTTTCACAAAAGGAGAAGAACAACTGATGGGGGTTACCTTTGAAATCACTATGGCACTTATTCTGTGCATAGTTATGCACACATATAACAAAGACCCAATCCCATTTCATATCTTTACCCCTACCTCTTGTTTGTGAGTGCCACCTTGCCCCTCAAACCAGTGGTTCCCAACTGGTCCAGCCACAGGGTCCAGATTTCTTCTTAGTCGTTAGTTTAAGGTCCTCACAGTTTAATATATTGAGTGTCATAGTTTGGTTTGGCCATGTCAAGCTAGTTTTCTCTCTTTGTCAAGCAGCTGTCCATTAGTCACGCTCTCTACAGCAGGAAACGGTGCTTCAAAATGAAAACTCTGTGCCAGAAATTCACTGTACTTCAAGATCAAGAGTGTTTTTTACAAACTTGACAAGTTTGAGAGTTACTTGCAGTCCATGCAGAATGGGACTGTGACCCACCAGTTGGGAACCACTGCTCTAGGATATGGTAGAACATTTCAAGACCCTGCTACATCATCATTGTGCTGGCATTTACGTAAACAGACGCGACATGTTGCCCGCCATTTCGTGGGCTATGTAGCCCTAACACTTCGCCCTACCCCATATACTAACAAGAAAAAGGACACCCTGCCCTTAGACGTTTATCCTGGCTTCATTTGAGTAGAGGAAATCGCCACTCGTCGGTAGGCTAATTTATACAACGTAAAATGCCATAGGCTTGAGCTAATAATGTTAGCATGTTGTATTTGTTTGGAAAACAAATTTAGTATAAGACAGTTATGTTGTCGGTGAACCTTGTGAGTTGTAATTGATTTTTGTTACATGTCGCTGTTGTCTCTGGTTTCATATGAGTAGGGGAAAAGTCTGCTAGCAGCTAGGCTAATTTATTCAATGTAAAATGCCATAGGCTTGTGCTAAAAACATTAGCATGTTGTATTTGTGGGGAAAATGTGTCCAGATAAAGACAAGTGTTTGTCTGTGAATGCTGCGAGTTATAGTGAAGCTGATTTGTGTACTTGTGTTTGAAATTGTCTCTATTAAGCCATGTTTAATGTGTGTTTAATGTGTGTTTTGAATCAACTAAACTTTACAGCACTGAACTGAAATGCCATTGCTGATTGGTGTTTTGGAGGTGTAACTGCAGAGTGACACAGACACACCACCGCATATGTGTAGATGCTCACAACGGCGTAGGCCACAGCATAGGCTCTGCACAGAGCTGACACACAAGTATAAATCTCGCTTAAGGGCAAAGGGGTGTATTGGGATTGGGCAAAAGTGCCTTCATACAAGACAGTTCTTAATAATAGTTATTAAGAAGAATGAAGACACAGGAGTGGACTTCAATCCAACCTTTCTGTCTCCTCTTTTATCAGTCCTCTCTGACACAGACTTGTTATTACATTACTTTCTCTGAAGCTAATAAGCTCAAGCATCGTACAGAGCAAATGGAAAGTTGAAGGAGTCGCTGGCTGTGGCCAGAGTTGTGTGGTTCAGCTGAGGGATTGTCAGGGCTGAGGGACAGCAGAGTTATGGGTTTTCAGAGCCTATTTCTGCAGTTCTGTCAGAGGCCAAATGAATGGCTGTAATACCCTAGTTCTGGTCTGCTGAGCTGATATGACAGAAGACCTAAAAGTTCATGACACGCCCCTAAAAAGTGGCGAAGTGGAGGCAACTTTGAAAGAACAGACTTTTGCAATGCCACATTGATTAATGTGTTGTTTCCTTTTCCACCTTGGCGACGGTCCGTGAGGTTTTATAACGCCCCCGCGCCTGCAGAAATCAAAATATCAGGATGTTGCTAAGGTAGTTGGGTGCCATCGAGAATTGTGGACAATGTCAGATCTGTTTGCTTCAACCAAGCCGCACTTATTAACATCATCCCCACTGTATGTCAGCAGCCTCCGAGGCCAGGCCTGTGGTCAACAACAGCGAGAAAGCGGTTTCTTCCTTGTTAGCTTTGGAGCTGCAGGAGAGAAGACTGCATTTTATAAGACAGAGAGCTGAGCCCTGCAGGCCTTGTGTACGCGAGCGTGTATGCGTGTCCCTTTGCAAGCGATGCAGTCAACCTCAACTGTGGAACTGGCAGCGTGTGACAGGAGAGGTGGTGTTGCTGTGGAAACCAGTGGCAAATAGAAACAAATTAAGTTGTTTGAGCGCCATGATAATGATGGTAGGCCCTGCCAGACAATCTTTAGGCATAAGCTCGGCTCATCATCATCATGGCATGGAGTCTGTAGCGAGACTACGCACACATACAGTTTGTGGTGTTTGTGTGAGCTCTGGTTGGGTCTGGATGTGTATGTGTGTATGCGAGGGTGATGAAACTGTTGGTGACTTCATTATTCAGTCTCTTTTCCACTCCACTACTCTGTGTGGAGAGTTTAAATGCAGTTGCCAACAGAGAGGCAACATAACACCAAATATACTGATTCATTGTGTCGTTCAGTTTGGCACATTGTTTTCAAATGACTGTTTTATCTGCTTCATTATGTTGGTGGATTTTGTTTGTTTACTATCAATATGAACTTCACACAATGTTGTTTGCCGTCATCATCCCTCCAACCCTCCATTTCTCACCTCACTAACTTTGACTCCATCCTAAACAATGCTCCCATCTGTCGCATTATAACAGCATCTTTGAGATCTCAAAATATATTTGTGTTTTTTTGCCTCACTACTTTTTATATCAAACAAATTCAAATGCATACATTTCTGTTATACTTGCATCAGTGAATTCTTAGGGTGCTTTCAGACCTAGAGTTGTCTTGCTTTGGTCCGAATCAGGGACTGGTTCATTGGTTAGTGTTCTCACGGCAGCATTTACAAGCGGACCAGATAAAATGCCTTGCGCTAGAAAGCTGCTCTTGATTGGTTAGAATTTCCATGTGGGAAAAATCCAGGAAGTAAATGTGCATATTAAGGCAGTACAGGAGGAGGTGCACATTAATAATCCTAATAATCCTCCAGGACTGTAACATGCTCATGTTTAACCCAAACAATGTGTCATGTGACTGCAGTTGGTTCAGATCCGGGTCAGAACACGTTCTCACCACAAACGAACTGCACCAGAGCACGTTTGTAACTGTACCGAGACCACCTCTTCAAGAAGGTCTCGGTCCGGTTGTTTTGTCGCTCACTCAAGTGTGATTGCTGTGTTCACACCTGCTCAAACGAACCGCACTTAGGGGGCAGACAAACATGAGTTTGATTGAACCGAACCAAACAGGGCAGGTCTGAAAGCATCCTTAGAGGGAATGTTTGGGTCTTTTGAAGTTTGGCTGTATGAGGTACTTATCCATAGTCAGTGTATGACCTCCAGTACATGTCAGTCGATGTGCCCCCAGGTTTGGAGAAGCAGGCTGGAGTGCCGACACAGAAGCTCAGTAACAGCATTTAGGAAAATGAAAATATAATATTGCAATAGTAATGAAATGATGTGACGTTAATGATACATAATTCTTCATCAGCATGACTAGGACGAATCTGATCAACCGGGCACAGGGCCAACGCAAACGGGCTCCGCCTATCCCGCAATTTCGCCCTATTCCCATCCTAGTTTTTTTTTATCTTGTATTTGTTGTCTCTTCTATAAACGGCTAAAAGTCTGACCCAAAGAGCTCACCTGCACCTTAATACAGTACGCGGCACAGTTGCGCTTTTGCGTAGGAATGCAGAAGTGCTGCTCTTGAGAAAATGTAGTGCCAAAGGAAAGGGCTGTCTGACGGAAAGGTAAAGTGGTGAAAATATTCTCCATATAGTGTCCACTTAGACATATTGGATACTTATGTTTTTTAAGGTGGGCCTATTTTTAACGTGGTTAAACTACGTTTCACTGCTGATTCTTATTCACGCTGCTTCCATGGTGGTACTCCTGTCTGCTTCTCCAAACAGGGAGAGTGCCAGCTGAAATTTACTGTATGTAACACAGTACCTCGTACAACTACACTTCAAAAGCTCTGACCTATCCCTTTAAATTGAAGAAGAACCTCCTGCTTCTACCAGTGTATTTTTTTTAGTTTATTTAATTAAGAAGTGTCTGACTGCCTGTCCCTTTTATCACATCATCCCTCCCTCTATCTCTTTCCCAACAGTCTCGTGAACAGTCAGACGATGAGCAATCGGAGGACTCAGTGAAGTTCAAACGGCTTCACAAACTGGTCAACTCCACACGCCGGGTCAGGAAGAAACTCATCAAGGTGGAGGAGGGCAAGAAACATGGCTCTGAAGGTTTGTAACCTCCTGATTGTCTTACAGTTCAACATAGTTAAAATCTGTCAACATCTGTCTATATCAGAATATTAATGTTCATGTGCTGTATTTATAAGGTTTCTGTTTGAGGCGTCAGACTTCTGCTGTATATGAATTTAATCTCTGCCTGCATAGTTTGAAAACATGTTGACAGTCTGTTCTGAGCAGTTATTGAGCTGTTTGTCCTCACTGAAATGAAGCTAAAGTTCAGTCATAGTAAATATTTGCTTTTCCAGCTGAGGGTTATTGGAAATTAATGGCTTGTGTGTTCAAAAGTAGGGTTTATTATTTATGCCAATGTATTACATTCTCGTCTGTCATGGGTTTTGCCCAATACTCAGAGTTTAAGAATGTGTTTTGAATTTTTTTGCCGGCTAGCTGTGGTTTGGAAAACCACGAATGGGTCATGGGACTACACAGAATCTGATGTCTAAATCCTCCTGAGTAAGAAACTATATGCGGTCTCTGTTTTCTTCTTTAGATTTTCTGAACCTGGAGTCACCTCCCACCTGTGAGGACAACACAGCTCTGTACACAGGGGTCTTAAAGAAGCCCCCTCTGCCCCAGGAGATCTCCCTGCCCTCCCTCACACAGGATCAACTCTCTCTGGATGGAGACACAGACAGTCTGACCAACTCCCCTTCCTCCAGCAGCCTGGACACCTGGTCCGGACACAAGCTGGTCAAAACCTTTAGTAAATCCTCCAGTACCCACGGCCTCATCCGGCCCCCCAGGAGAACCCCAGTTGGCTCTGGGGGCCTGGCAGGCTCTGGCGTAGGAGGTAGTGGCTCTTCCTTCTCGGAGCTGGATGGCTGTGGATTGGACGACGACGGAAAGCTGTCACGCTCCACGACTGACAGCGAGATGCGGAAGGCCCTGAGCTCCATCTCCCATGGGGTAAGTAACAACGAGGCTCTCTACGCCTACTATGGCCTCACTAAACCCCGCCCCAAACCCCACGCCCAGTCCCGCCTCCTGATCTCCCTGGAAGATGCTCCACCAGGCAGCCCCAAACACCAACCTGCCAACCGGCACCATGGCAGCTGGGCGCACCGGAAACCTGATCCCAACTACGCTTACTCCACCAAGCACCTACTGTACCAGCGCTCGCGCAATGCCAAGACCCCTATCTCCCCTCTGTCTGTCACCCCCTCCTCCCCTGTCCGCTGTGATGTAGCCAAATCAAAAGGTTTTGGAAGCGGGGGAGGGGGCTGGGTGTTCCCCTCTCGCAGGCTGCGTGGTCGAACGGCAGTCAGTGAGCTGAACATCACCTATGTGGTAGAGCGGAGCCTGTACGGTCACCTCAACTGGGCCCAGCTGGTCCGCCCAGTTACCCTCAGCCGCGCTGAGCGCCGCTGTCTATTGGAGGAGGACCGCGAGGCGGACAGGAAGTGGGCGGCCAGTGTGGACCGCTGCACCAAGCGTGTGCTCTTGCGCATCCAGCAGAAGTCTGTGAGTTCAGACCATGAGGTTGAAATCGACCGCCTCGTGTGAGCAGGACTCGGTGCTTCAAAGTTGCAGAATAGCTCAGAGGTTATAGGGGAAGGTACAGCAAACACACACGACACACACGTCAAGTCAAATGACTTCAAGTCATCCATTTAATATTGTCTGTGTCAGAAATCCGCATCAAAGCATCACAGTTGTGCTCATGTATAGAGAAAGGCCTGAGGCTGATATATCTATCACAGAGTTAACTGCCCTGAGAGGAATGTCTTCTTCTCTGACCTTTAAGTGAATGTCTTTGGCTTTAAGCCTTTTTTTATTCCAGCTGAATATGAAATGATTATGGAATGTGCAGTGGCCCACTTGGGAGGTTAAGTTACAGCAGAGGTTTCGTAAGTGCCTTTTTATAAATGTCAGATCCCTGAAGAACACAGGCACAGTCACACTGATCCCTGGGGGCTAGAGAGATGTTGTACAAGCCTGAAGCTGCACATCCAGAGAGCTGCACAGCACGAAGCCTCACAGACAAGGAATGGCCTTATTAAGTCAACTTAAAGGAACAGTGCGTAAGGTTTAGGGGGTTTAGTGGCATCTAGCGGTGAGAATTGCAGACTGCAACCAGCTGAAGTCCTTCAGTGTCACAGAGTTACAGAATCTTTTTTTATTCTGACGCTGCTTGTCAAGAATGGGCTCTAAGTATGATGGCCGACCCTAAAATGTGAAAGCGCGAAAGGCTCCATCTAAAGCCAGTGTTTGGTTTGTCCGTTCAGGGCTACTGTAGAAACATGGCGGACTCCGCAGAAGAGGATCCACTCCCTATGTAGATATAAACGGCTCATTTTAAGGTAATTCAAAGGCAACAATTCTTATTTTCAGGTGATTATACACAAAAGAAAACATAAATTAGTATATTCTGTTTCTGCAAATATATCCCCTTAATCCTACACACTGGACCTTTAAGATAACTTAAGAGTATACACTAACTGAGTGCAGCGACAGTAAAGTGGAGACAACAGAAAAGCAGCTGAACTACATACATTAATTCATACCATGCAAGCTTATTACTTTGTAACAACCAGCATAAGAACAATCTGGTTGCATTGCCATTAACTCCCATGTTCCCCACATGTATCGGCCACAATAGTGACACACACTCTAGCTGGTGATATAGAGGAGCTATCCTGCAGCTTTGAGGGTACCTGAATCCTATCGTGTTCTAGTGAAATCACCGGAGGTCGTTCTCATCCAAGAACTCTCCAAAAAAATCCACTTTTTTCTGTTGTTGCTTTTCGTGTTCTTTTTTGGGCCCGTGCCTCTCTGGTTGCAGATGTGATTTTTTTTTTTTTTATTATTATTATTACTTTAGTTGTTTTTCTTTCCTATAATTATCTTTGAGAGACATTTTTTTTCTGGGTGCATGTCCATTCCATCGAACATCACCATCACATTCAGAGTTCTTTTTTTGGAAGTTGCTTTTCTTGGGAAGTTGTGATGTGGACTGCAACTGTGGACATCTAATATATAAGAAAAATATTCTCTGAACAGGCAGTGCTTTCTCACATGGAGGATCTTCGACCGGGGTTTGTGGGAGTTTAGTCGAGCAGTTTAGAAGTAACAGCTTTTGAATCAAGGAGAAATACCATCAAGTGCCTCGCTTGAACCGATACGGAAGCAAATATGAGACAAAAGTATTTAAATTTAAAGACGGCTGAATTCATGGCATTGACATATTTTACTTCGAAAACCTTGCATTTGAATTTATTTGTTCTGAATTCATATCTATGAGATGTCTTGATTTGCAAATTTAAAAGCTGAATTTGAACATTTTTTTTTCAATGTTCACATCTTCAGAAACAAAAATTCAACGTTTAGAATGTATAAAATGGATTTAGGTTGCTCAAATTTTTGACTGATGAAATTCAGAATTTAAAATTCAAGCTGCAGAAAGTTGAATATTTGCATCTGAATTTTTTTTATTAATAGATGCTTAAATTACAGTGCAGGCGCAGTTCCAAAAATGTCAGGTTTCCATTCATGCATTTAAAAATATTATTTTAAAAAGAAAAACTGTAAGTAAAAGGACAAAGATACTTATCCAAAAGAAGCACACAAATAAAAAAATAAATAAATAAAATAAAGGGTCACTATTCCTTAAATATATACATAGGGGATGTACTAAAACTAAATCTTAGGACATTTTAACATACACACGTTACAAATTCAAGAATATCAGCATCAACATTTACAGCTGAATTTTACCAATGAAATCTGAGCAACTTGCATCTTTTTTTGTTAATTTTTGAAACTTGAATTTTTAGATTTGAATGTATGAACATTGAAAAAATATTCATTCAAAAATCAGCTTTTTACTTTTAATTTCAGAGGTGAAATTAGAACAATTAAATTCAGATACATGGTTTTCAAAGTAAAATATTTTTATGCCATGAATTTAATGGTGTTTAAATTTCAATGTCAAGTATTCAATGTCTGTTAGAATTCAAATACTAATGTCTCTTATCTGCCACCGTGACACAAGAGTGTTTCTTTGACAGATGCCTCTGTGCATGTCTGTGTCTACGTGTTTGTGTGTGACCCACAGCAGAGCTCAGGGACGATTCAGAAAAACTCAGTCAGCTCAGTGATAAGATCCTGGATCTCTTTTTCCTCTCATGTCACAGTTCCCCTTTGTGTCTCTCGCTTTATCTCGCTGTCGACCTCTTAAGTCAAGAAAGACCATCCAAGATCACCCTGTCCTCTCAGCAGAAACAATTTACTCCCCTAAAAATGTTTCTGATGAGAACATGTCGTCAGCTGTAAGCACCCTATATGTTGTGCATGTTTGCATACTAAGCCCCGTTTTGCATTTCTCATAATTAACCACAAGGCGTTTTTACATCATGCTGAAATGCAACGAGTATACGTTCATAAAAGTAATGTATTTTAGCTCGGCCACATCAAGACAGAGTTAATTTTCTTCGATATTTTCCCCGGGGATTGAAGCTTTAAAGCACATGAGCAGCTTGTTGGAGCCGACGGCGTGCTCGCCACGCTCAATATAACAGCTCATTAGCCTCGGACCGTGCAACAACTCGCAATTTTAAAGAGGAGCTCGTATAACAGTTTGTGTTACATCATGTCTGTTGGCTGTCCACAGGTCCCATATGACATCATGCCCCCGCATACATACACACCATATATACCCATGTACATTCATCACAGTGCTGCCTGTGTTGTGTCAAGCATGAATCATCGTGAGTTGACCCTCAGTGGGTGTGGACGGGGAGTTCCTGTAACCTGACCTTCTGGCTGTGATTCATGTGATTGTGTTTTGGCTTCCCCCGCAGAGAACGTGCAGCTTCGGAGGCTTCGACCTGTCCAACCGTTCGCTCCATGTGGTCAACGCCAGCTCGGAGGCCAATGTAAGCGCTGGCAGCTTGTGAAATTAGACGAGGACAAGCTGAACTCTCCTGTCACACTTAATCACCCTCTCTCCTTTTGTTTTTGTGCCCTTCGCCTTCTTCCTGTCTGCTGATTCATCCCCATCTCACTCCTTTCGCCTCTCTCTGTCATCTCCTTCCTCTCTGTTCACCCTTTTCCGTCTTTTAATCACAGAGTAAAGAGCAGGAGGCCATATACAGAGAAGTGGTCAAATCCCCCACCACGTCTCGGATCTCGCTGGGCAAGAAGGTCAAGTCAGTCAAGGAGACGATGAGGAAACGCATGTCGAAGAAGTACAGCAGCTCCTTGTCGGAGCAGGTTAGACATAACACACAAACGCACACATGGATGCAATTTTTGAACGCTTTATTTGTAGAAGGTTCAGATGGCGTTAAGAATTCTGTAGATTTTCCTTGTTTGAAGGGCACATGACGTACCTAAACACAGATGAATTATTTAAAGTGGTTCAGCTGAAGCATAAACGGTCCCACAAATCCACACTTTCAATCCTCAAATCGGCAAGCCAAGTGCAGCTGTAAAGAAATAAAAGCGGCCCATGTTCTGCAAACACTTAGAGGATGTTTTGCAGTGTAAGCCACATATTCTGTCCACAGGCTGTGAGTGGGTGGGAGTATTTGTGTTAGTTACAGAATAAACACAGAGCACTAAAACACACACACACACACACACATTTGGATCTCTCTCTGCTGCATGCTCTCCGTGGGCCCAGTGTGCAGGGTGGAGTGTGTGCTTCATGCTGAGCTCATGGAGTGATGCAAGTCTCCCTGAGGCGAGCTCTTAGGAAATGGAGACTTGAAGTGTGAGGGAGTGTATAATGGCTGTCTCATCTGTGCTGGCCTAATTTCTCTGGGCATCCAGTGGCTCCAGCAGTGGCCTGTCCAGCCCTTCAGTTTGATGCTGCCCTGCAGATCGTGGCATCAATGCACAGCTGAACATCTGTCCATCACGGTGGTCTTGACACTGTGACCCACATATCCTGGCATGAGTCATGGAGCCATCGGTTAGGAAAGAGCAAAGGAAAATGAATTGCCATCTAACAGTGTTTCAAGCACGGTCATTTTATAGACCATGATGCCACCTAGTGGATAAATGAAATAAATAAAGCACAGCACAGATGTTAATGTGGCATATGAATGTATTTTGTAGTCAAAGGAGATCTGAAAAGATCTGATCAAAATCAAGAGTTGAAATGAAAGTTTTGATCCAGTTATGACTGACAAATCCATCACACTACAATGCAGGTAAAATGCCACTGCAAAGGTCCAATAAATGGCATCAATACTTCCATAATTTGATGTAATACCTGTTAAAAGACGTTGTTCAGACAGGACATTAGCATGAGGGATCTAGTGTAAACCAGTGGGCTCTCAGTTCTAGCTGATAGGACATGCAGAAAAGAAGAGCTGGCTGTTTTTATGACTATTTGTTGGAGGTTTTGTTGCCCCTAGTAGGGCAGCTTGAGTTCACTTCAAAGAATACTTTACCTGCAAAACGACCATTTATATATCAGTCACTAGTTTATTTTTGTTTAGAGTAGTTAATTTGCACATACATGTATAGAAAATTCAGGAAAAATGAATTAAAAGCTGTGCAGAAGAGGTTCTAAGCCAAAAATGGCTTATGAAGATACCCACCAAATTAAATAACAACAATCATACATAAAAAGAAAATATAAAAAGGAAGATTGCATGATTAAATAACAGTTCCAGACTTAGAGGTACTAAAAAATTGTGAAAGATGTACAATTTACAACAACAAATACAGCACAAAACACAACAGAAAGTCGTTCCAAATGAGAGGTGGTCCTCTGTAGTTCAATAGTTACTGATTAAGAGAAGTCTGCGTCCAACAATATGTAAGATAAAGGTCCTTAGAGTGTCTTGGGGAATAGGAGTGATTGTCTGAGGAAGACTTAAAAAAGTTCTGACCACGTGTTGCCTTTTATTTGTGAAGAAACATTTGTTTTTCTTGCAGCCTCCATGGTGAGCGGAGAATCCAAAAAAGGCGAGCATTCTGAACTTGAGCATGAACTGAAATTCACAGCGACCACATTTAACAACAGCAAAACTATGTCAAAACATCAGTTTACTAACTCTCACACAACCCATGCAGTATACTGTCTCATTTATCCAGTGGTATGCTCAGTACTTCCCAAGCATGTGCACTACTGGTATGCATAAGTGTTTAAAATCATTATGTTTTAGCAAAAATACATGTGTTTAGCTATACTGAGCATATATAAATGAGCATAAATAAGACTTGGTTTAGACTGCACAAGCTGTGTGAGAGTTTGTAAACAGATATTTTCACATAGTTTTGCTGTTGTTAAACACAACCCCACTTTACTTCAGTTCACGAAGAATGCTTGCCTTTTTTGGATTCTCCGCTCACTGTAGAGGCATGTAAGAAAAACAAAGTTTTCTTCAAGAATTCAGCATAACATTTGGTGAGTAAGAGAAATACAAATGGACATTTTGTGGGTGAATAATTCTTTTAAGATGTACTGTTTTTCTTCAGGGAAGTTCAAGAGCCTATTTTATGAGGTCTTTAAATGAATAATTCAGTAAAGACTTTTTAAAAGTATTTAAGAAGAAAATTTGTGTTTGTACACATTTATAGTTTGTAAAATTTGGGTGAAAAGTACTGTAAATTATTTTGGAGAAAGATAAGTGACTGTTGAGTCTTCAGGTCGTCAAATACTGATGCTTTGTGTTCGTGGTTCAGGCCATCTATCGACTGAAAACCTTCGTATTTGACGACCTGGGAATGAGACTCAACAATCTGTCTCCAGTGTCACATACACCACCTTTAATAATCACATTCACACATTTCTTCCATAAACTCAGTTTTATATGTGTACACCTGTTTGTCAGTGAAAAGAAAATACTAACAACCCCTATCACTCCCCCATTTCTCCTCCTCTCTATCTATGATCTTCATCTTTTCTTGGTTTACCTTGTCTCCCCCATATGCCAAACCTTTTAACCAAACTTTCCCATTGCTCTCATCCTTTCATCTTTTAACTGCACAACATTTCCTTTGTCTGTCTCCCTCATGTCCTTTCATTACCCATCTGTGTCTCCCCCTCTCTTCTTGTCTTTTAGTCCAGTCCGGATGGAGCTCCTGGCTCCCCTCAGTCCCCTCAGCCTGACACTGACTCTCTGGAGAAGCCCAAGCTTAAGGCCGGAGGCTCGGTGGAAAGTCTGCGCAGTTCACTCAGCGGACAGAGCTCAATGAGTAAGACCAGATCCTTTGTTTCGGAAAAGGGACATCTGCTTTGTAAATGTGATGTTTTTAAATGTATTTTTGGTAGCAAACAGTGGCTTTTTATGTTTTGGTTTTTTTTTGACATCTTAAAATAAGAGAAGTACAGTCATGTAGTTGTAAGGTGTCGGTGCATCATATTTGTCATGTAGAAACTGAATGCACATACACGCGATCTAAAAGGTTGTAATTCAGTGTCACAGCCTGTTTGAGCAATGTTTGACACTAGATGGTGCTCGTAACATTCGCTGCTCGCTGGTGTACATTCCAAATACATACAGATTACTTAACCTCCTGCCATTACATGTATACCAATTATGATGTTTGTGGAGTGACGGCCATGAAGAGCAGTTCTCTCCCTTGATCATCACACCCAGTCCTAGCAGCTGCCTCACGTGTTGTGATCTCACAGTTTTCAATCAACCTCTCAGGTCATCTGATCTAATTACAACTTCTGATTACTTCAGCCTGTCTTTGTGGATTAAATACCCTCCATCGTGTCGAGCTCAGGGTGAATTTAGACATGAACATGAACACAAACACGCAGGCAAACATACGGTAATGATTAGGTAGGAAGTCTTGCTTCTCCGATTCCCGCACGTCAACATGATTTCAACAGGCTTCCCTCAAATAGAGAAGAAAATATGCAGCAAATACTTCTCCAAGGATCTGTAATACACGTGTTTAAGACTTAAAGGTTGCATGCTATTAAATCTCCACTTGTGTGTGTTTGTGTCCAGGTGGTCAGACGGTGAGCACCACTGACTCCTCAGCCAGTAACAGAGAAAGCGTGAAGTCAGAGGATGGTGATGACGAAGAGCCGCCTTATAGAGGGCCTTTCTGTGGCCGCGCCCGAGTCCATACAGACTTCACCCCCAGCCCCTATGACACCGACTCCCTCAAACTGAAGGTAACACACACTTAAGGATGTGGGCCAGAATGTCAAGCTGGGGAGCTGCAGATGTCACAATGTTTTTTAACAACCGTTTGTGTCTGATGTTAAAAAAGGTAAAATGTGTGGTTGTGATTCTCCAGCGTGGTGATGTGATCGACATCATCAGTAAGCCACCCATGGGGACATGGATGGGCCTGCTGAACAACAAAGTGGGCACCTTCAAGTTCATCTATGTGGATGTGCTGAGTGAAGAGGAGGAGAAGCCCAAGAGGCCTGTGAGGAGAAGGAGGAAGGGCCGACCACCCAAGCCCACATCGGTGGAGGACCTGCTGGAGCGCATCAACCTCAAGGTAAAAGACCGCCATGCACTGAATACACAGTAAGTTAGAGTTACAGCATCATGTCAGTTCACTTAGGCTATGCTTAGACAGCAGGCAAAAACGGCCCAAATGTGATGTGACTCAGATCTGTTTTTGTGGATCTCATGAATTCTGATCCCCTTATTTTGATTTGGGTGTCTTTGCTAAGCTCCGCCCCTTTGCGATGGTCCAACAAGCTGTCAAAGTAAGCATGGAGAACTGAAAGAGTGATTCCAGAGAGAAGCAGACAGAGGGGTCTACAGTCTGTGTTTGAAGGATATATCCAGAATGTCAAACTGACTCAGCAGCAACAACAGGTTAAAAAGACAAAGATAGTTAGAAGCTAAAGCAGAACTATAGGCTACAGATCACAGTGTAAAAGTGAACCACCACATCACTGCTGATCGCCACAGAAGACAATGAATATAAAGGGAAACTTTGCTGATATTGAAACAGCTGTGTGGCATCACAGTGTGCGCAGAGGATCCACCACCGGATCTCTGCCATCGGACCGACGGAGAGCTCAGGGCGTAGCCAAACAACGTTCATCTGCGCACACTGTGATGACACAGAGCTGGTTGAATATCAGCAAAGTTTCCCTGCTTCCCTTCACTGGTTCCTGTACAGCAGGGTCGGTCTTTGTTTCACTGTTATAATCATTAAAAAGCAAAAGCAGCATGTGTATACATTCAGTAGGCTATATCTTCAGGAGCTAGCTAGCTAACCCTACACTTTTCAGGGTTTGATTTTGGTTTTGGAACAGGGAAGAAACGTATATCTTTTTCCAACCTCTCCAGGTAACGACGTGCCCCAGGCGCAACATTTAGCTCCAAATCCACAAAACCAGCCTGAAATGACTGCAATAGAGTCAATGGAGCACAGCTGTGTTGTTGTCGGACCCTGGCTAAATCTGCATTGAGCACTAAGACCTGCAGTGTGAATGTAGCCATGATGTCTGTGAAGTTTTCAGTGGCAGACAAGTTTACATTTACCTTCACTTACCAGGTTCATTGCATAAACTTGAATTGCCCAACGTGAGAATTGCCACCCATCTGGAACCTAAATAAGAGAAAACAAATCTTAAGAAGTAAATCAAAACATTGTTTTAGTCAAATATCTTCCAAACACATTTCCAGACAAGCAGAGATAAATATAGTGAGGGCAATTACAGGCTGCACAGCTTAGGATGTTTGATCCGACACTGATGCATAAACATTAACACCCACATTCTCACGACCACGCCCCAACAAACAACTCTCATCTTTCATCTGAACCTACACATAGCTGTGAGCTTGATTTCATATCCTCCCACTCAGGCAGCCAGCGGGCCTCACTTCCCCAAATAGAGAGAGAGAGAGACTTTGTGGGCTGAGTGTTTTATCTCCGGCCAGCCTAATGGCCAAGTCGCAGATTAAAGATCCAGAGTGCATTATTAATGTCACAGCGCAGGCTTCCCAAGCTGTGAGTCTGGGTGTTACAAGTGCATCAGAGCGTCGGGTCCCCTTAGTCACCACCGGATTCCTGGAGTGGGAGAGTTAGACTAAACACTTTAACAACATTTTAGAGTTTCCACTTTGCAGCCAATATAGCAGGAATTTTAACTACTCTGTTCCTTAAGTTGTGCTGATGATGAAAAAGTAAAAATAAATTCCAGCCCCACAGTTCTGCTCCAAGATAAATGATCTTTTCAAGCACCATTTGCATTCAATTATTCAGCTTGTGTCGACATAAGAGGCCCTTGCTCTTTTTTCGTACTTAAATATTAAACTACTTTTTTTTTTCACTGCATAGGAACATATTAAAAACATGGATTGCATGGTCGTGACACACTGATCCAGATATCTACTCCAGATAGAACTAAATGGCTTTGCTTATTTCAAGATCAATCATAGACAGCAAATACATTTAAGATGAATTAAAACCTAAATAATCTACTGTAGTATTAAGAGCCTTTATCTTAATAATCTTTGGCAGTGGTTAGCATTGTTGCCTGACAGCAATAGGGTTCCTAGTTCTCTACCATGGGGGATACCTTCTGTGCAGAGTTTGCATGTTCTCCCTGTGTCAGTGTGGGTTTTCTCCAGGTACTCCAGCTTCCTCCCACAGTCCAAAGACATGCAGGTTAATTGGTGACTCTAAATTGTCCGTAGGTGTGAATGTGAGTGTGAATGGTTGTCTGCCTCTATGTGTCAGCCCTGTGATAGTCTGGTGACCTGTCCAGGGTGAACCCCGCCTCTTGCCCAATGTTAGCTAGGATAGGCTCCAGCAACCCCACAACCTCCAACAGGATAAGCAGTTACGGTTTTAGTGTGACCATCACAACATTCTCCGGATCAGTGGTTCTGGTGCAGCCACGGGGTCCAGATTTGTCCTTCGTCATTAGTTTTAAGGTCCGCACAGTTTAACACATTCAGCGTTATACTTGTGTTTGGCCATGTCGCCAAGCTAGTGTTTCTGTCTCTGTCTAGTAGCTGTCTGTTATTTACTCACTCTATAGTAGGAAACAACACTTCAAAATAAAAGCTCTATGCCAGAAATACACTGTACTTCAAAATAAAATGTGTTTTCTACAAACTCGACACGTTTGTGAGTGACTTGTGGTCCATTCAGAATGGGCCCGCGATCCACCAACTGGGAACCACTGCTCTAGATGACACAATATTCACTGTAGTGGGTGATTTTTTGTACTTAAATGTAAATGTTAAGAAAAAGTTTAATTGCCTGAAGGAATAACTCACTTCCCAAATGACCATTTGTTTATAAGTTACTCACAGTGTCATGATAAATTCATTAAGAAAACTTTGTGTAATTCAAGTGTCATTTATCCAGTTGTATGTTCAGTACTTCATAAACAGACAGCTCTTTCTGACAGGGAACTGAACTATAGGTAAGACTTATCAATGCTCTCTTTAAAGCCAGACTTCACTGACAAAAACAGTAATTTTACCTTGCTGAACACAGGAGCTGCTGGTCAACTGCTGCCTCCATCAGTAAATTAGTTTGTGTTGTTGTGTGACTTTGGTGTTTTAAAGGGTTAGTTTGGATTCACCAAAGTGTCCAGACCAGAAGCTCCTGTGTTCAGCAGGGTAAAATTACTGTTTTTTGTCAGCGGAGTCTGGCTTTGAAGAGTTCAGATGTCTGTCGGAAAGGGCTGTCTGTTTGGAAATTGATGAGCATACCAGTGGATAAATGAGACTTGGATTACACTGCACAAGTTAAGTGAGAGTTTGTAGACAATGTTTTGATGCAGTTTTGCTGTTGCAGCCCCTCTTACTTCTCCTACTTTTCTAAGTTTTATGATTCTACAAAGTGCTTGACATATCAGTTAAAACAGACGAGACTAAGGAAATAAAAGACAGTCTAAATGGACTTAAAACTCAATTAAAATCAGGAATGGCTCTCCAAGAAAAGTATGTTTTCAGACAGGACTTAAAAGAGATCACTGACTCGGCTGACCTGATTTCCTCAGGCAGACTGTTCCAGAGCCTCGGGGCCCTGACAGCAAACGCTCTTTCCCCTTCAGTTTTCAGCCAGGCCTCTGGAACAGACAAAAGACCTTTGCCCGAAGACCTCAAAGTATGTCCAGGCGTGTATGGTACTAAGAAGTCGGAAATGTAGCTGGGACAGGGGCCATGAAGTCTTAAAATCTATTCTAAAACATACTGGGAGCCAGTGTAAAGAGGCTAAAACTGGAGTGACGTGATCACGTCTCTTGGTTCTGGTTGAAATACTATATGAGTTATGACAGGACTGTCATAGATCAAAGCAGTAAGAATATTGTTGTTGTGTACTTCCTGGAAATGCTAAGCAACATTTGGTTGAGATGGCAAGCCAACATTTAAGAACACACATCAACGGTGCCTGTGTGTAACCATAAAGTGTAAAATCTCCACACCCCTGTAACTCTGGGGCCAGATTGGTTCTCTGCCAGATCATGTTTGGATCTGGAGCGTGTTTAAGTTTTGGATAGACTAAAAGAAGATCCTGTGAGTGAGAGGAGCCGGCTGCCTGTGTTTGTGTTAGTTGGTGGTCCTTTGTTTAGTCCCGCATCATCCAGCAGAAATAGACACAGGGACACACAGTTTTCTCTGTGTGGACTCCACCATTGTAATTGATGGTCTCGCTGGTGACACACAGTCTATGTGTTCGTCCAACAAAGTGTGTGGGTCACACAAACACGGAGCCCAGTTATATCCAAAGTGGAAGCAGTTATGAGCGCGTTGAATGATAGCATCAGCTGACTGTGCACTCACACTGGGCGTATCTGGATTTTAAAGTGTTTGTTTCTTTGTCAGATATCACGGTGGTTTGGGTGACTGGCCTCGGTGCTTGTTTGTGCTATTGTGTTAAACTTTGTCTTGTGTGGTTGAGGAGCACTTTGATGTAATCGTCCCCACCTTCAGTTCTTCTCGTTACCACATCATGTTGGCGCGTTTCCCTTTCAAGTCCTGTTTGCCATTTCGGTCGCAGCCAGAGCAGCTCGGGATTGTTGCCACACACTCCACACTGTTCCTCGATTGGTACGGCTAACTCCCTAATGTTGCTGCAACTCACTTTTATTATGTGCCTGTCAAAGAAGTTTGTGCCGAATTAATGTGTGTCGACAGTTGAAGCAGCCATAACCGAATTAGTCATGGCTTAAAGTGATTACATGCCATCTAAAACTCCGAATAACAGTTAAGCTTTGGCTCACTTGTGATAAAAATACAGTGTGGATAGGAAATTATGAGCAGATGACAAATGTGTACCCCACTCTTATTTTTTTCCCTCCTTTCCCCACCTCTGTGTTTTTAATTTTATGCTTCTACCCCCAAACTTTTTGTCACTGCTCCCATGACTCACATCCAGAGTGTATTTTTCTTTAGTCTACTGTATTTTTCTTCAGTGTTTGGACTCAGACATGATGTTTCTGTCATGCAGGAGCACATGCCCACTTTCCTGTTCAACGGCTATGAGGACCTGGACACGTTCAAGTTGCTGGAGGAGGAGGACCTGGACGAGCTGAACATCAGAGATCCTCAGCACAGGGCTGTGCTGCTCACCGCTGTAGAGCTGCTGCAGGAGTACGACAGTAAGTAGAAAAACATATTCTGGATAGACGCGTGAGAACACACTCAGGTGATCGTTCTGACTCACCCAAACTCCCTGGCTGTATAAAGGATTTATCATATCCGTATTTTGATGAGGGTTAAAGAGATTAAATTCCCACATGGTCCAGTAATACAAGTTTTGATTTATTTTGACAAGGCGCAGCTCCTCATAGAGTTTCAAGTATGTTTTTTTGTTTTGTTTTTCTGTGACTAAGCAACCAATGAAATCTAATGACTAATGACCTTTCTGGTCAACTAACATTTGGTCGACTGTCATAGGGCAGCCCTTGTGGATCCCACTGTATTCGTAAAAAGTTATGATACTTGGGATTCCCCTGTGGCTTTGGGGTTAAGATGTCGACCATGAGCTGGCGTCCTCCACTAATAAAAGAATGAATGCCCAAAAATACCATTTCAAAATGATGGAATAGTGTTCAGCTCTGATTTTGATGACATTTCTTTTTTCTTTTGTATTCTCAGGCAGCAGTGATCCAGAGCGCAGCGGCCTGTCGGGCTCCCAGGAGAAGCTGCTGTCCGAGGGTCGGGGCCTGGTGGGAGACTCCCCGCGAGATTCTGGGTGCTACGAGAGCAATGAGAACCTGGAGAATGGTAATGACAGCTTTGAGTAGCCTAGACCAACAAGACCACCTAGCCTTGGTGTAGCCTAGCTGTACTGTAGTGCCACAGCGACTCCTTCACCTCTTTCCTCTGTGGGCTTCCACCTCTGCTCCATCTCTTGCCATGCTTCTGCAACACCTCGTCCACCTCACTCCTCTGGACCAGTTCCTGCCAATCAACCCCCCCCCCCCCCCCCCCCCCCCCCCCCCTAGTACTCTTTCACACAGGGCTGCNCCCCCCCCCCCCCCCCCAAACCTTTCCCCCTCTAGTACGGCCGCTCCCCTTATCACCTCATAACTCTATAAACTTTTAACTATCCTTTCACGCCACTTTCTTTACCACTCTTCCATCTTGTAGGCGTTCTGTGTCAGCAGTGCCAAAGTCAAGTTGTAACTGAGAGGGCGCCAGGTCCAAGACCACTAAGCCTAGTCCACCCCACAATGCTGGGAGCGCAGAGGGAGAGATCCTCCCCGATGCACAGAACTGTTCTGATGAGAACACACTCACTGCCCAGTCATGGATTCCCATTTCCAGCTCTTCTGCCTGTGGATGCGAGGCTGGTAAAAGGATACCGGGAGGATGATGATGGGCTCAGAGAGTATTTCTGTTAAGTGTTTTTAAGATAGAAAAAGAGCTTGAAGAGCAGCATGTCGATAAATGCTTGTTGTTGTTTTTTTGCGGTGGTGATTCTACAGGCTGATAAGGCTTTTAAAAAATGTATTCATCAGGTTACAGATCACAGCTGCCATTTAAATCTTTGTCTTCATACCATTTCAAGCTGTCACTCTGTGTTTATAGTGACCATATTGCACAACAGCCGAACAGTATGTGCCTAAAAAAAAGATGTGGATGGAAATATTTTTAAATAGTAGTGCATAGATTGTAAGAGAGGTCTTATTTGTGACATTTCTTGTTTGGTTTATTTTTGAAACTGCTCTTTTCCTCCTGCATAAGACTGTATGCTTTCTTTCTTCCACACACAACATGCTTTTTAACCATAACCCATAAATCACAGCTCTGTCAAACCTTGTCTTCTTTCTATAGCTGTTGGGTTCCAGTCTAACTGCTGGGTTTCCCCTTGATGTGTATGTGTCATTCAGGTTTCAACAGTAAAGCGTGCAATCTGCCACAGTAGAGATTTAAGTTGTGGAATAAAAGCCACTTCTTTTAAAAAAGAAAAAGGACTCTGGTGCTGCTTGCTTGTTTTTTATGTTTCGCCTTTTTTCTCTGTCTTTTTTTTTCTCTTCCTGCCACTAAACGCTGTTCACAAACCAGCTGCATAACATTTCGTAAACATTCTGCATCTCTTCTCGCAGTTTCAGGGCTCCACAGTTCCTCTACCTTTACAAACTCATAAAGTTGTTTGTATATTGCAGGGTTTATTTGCTGAAACTGCCACTATATCTACACAATATTACGTTAGATATATCATGTTTGTCATCCTTTTCATGTTGCTGCTAATGGCATTTGCTAGAATCTAACATGGACAGCCGAGTCTCTGACACAGCTGTCAATCATATCAATCACTGCTGTGAACTGCGGTCAAACTAGGCAGCGCTGATCAAATATGAATCAAGATTCTGTAACTGCATTGCCTATTTCTTGCTTCAGATGTATTCAGACACATATTTTAGTGTACTGTTTAGCTGTAAAATGAGAATGTTTGTGACCTGGCCAGTGGGCGTGTTTTGTTTTTGCCCTGGTGTTTCCAACATGGCAGCTGGGTCACAAACTTTCTCATTTCACAGCTAAACAGTACACTAAAATATGTTTCTGAAATCAACTGAGGCAAGAAATGGGCAACGTCGTAACAAAATCTTGATTCATATTTGATTAGCGCTGGGTCGTTTAACAGTTAGACGGCAGTTCATGAGCAGCGATAGCTGTATTAGCGCTGGGTGTCACCCTTGTGCCTACTCCGAGCCAATTTTCAAGGGCGTGGTGGCCCATAACCAGTAACGCAACAAAGATATTGACAGATGTAAAACTCTGGCTAAACAGTACACTAAAATATGTTTCTGAAAACAATTGAGGCAAGAAATGGGCAATGTCATAACAGAATCTTGATACATAATTGATCACCGCTGCCTAGTTTGACAGTTTGACTGCAGTTCACAGTGATTGACATAATAAACAGCTTCGTTATCTAAAGCCCATTTCAGACCAAAGATTCATGTTGAGACGAAACTGTTATAGAATGTTGCAGAGAAAAGTTGCAGCAGTGTGAACTGGATGGAAGCCAGTTGATGGTGTCACCTGCAACTCAGCTGGTCAAATCGCAGACAGCTGCTTTTAAAACGTAAAGTGCATCACTTATTTATTATTAATACAGTCCATCTGATGCTCATTTATCTACAAATGCAGTTGTAAGCAGTATCTCACTATCACTGTCCTCATTCATGATATCAGAAGCTACAAATAACATTCAGCCACAAAATAAGCCTTAAAGGCTGGAAATCAGAACGGAGATACAGAGAGTTATTGCATAGAGATGATACTCCACCTCATCTAGTTGCATTGGCATGCAACGGCAGGTTTTTAGAACACTGCAGAACGGTGCAACTTTTGTCTGAATTGGGCTTTAGAGAATCCTCAGCTCTGATTGGCTGCGAAAGATTCTTACAAATGCCATTTGAAGCACTACGAGAAGGCAGAAACGTGGACATAGTGACAGTTTTTCGCAAATATGACAATTCTTATCATAAAAGTTACCAACTGTAGTTTTAATGGCTGTTTATGAATATTAATAAGTCTAGAGAATTGGCAAAGGAAAACATTTAATTAAATATAAATAATAAAAGGTAATTAAGAATCATAACACAAACTGTGTCTTTTAAATGTTCTCCTTTCACTGTAGAGCCCTGAGTTTGCTTTTTAATCAGTAGACTTCGTTTAACGTATGTGTCTGCTCCAACTTCCTGTAACTAGATGTAGTACTTCGTCTTTACATCATCAAATAACTTTTATCAACTTTCACTCATCATTTTCATATGCATATATAATGTGGTGCTCAGTTAATTAAAAGTTGGATAATGATATTCAGTCACTCGTCCCCATTATGCAAAATATATACATATAAAAAATGACTCAGAGCTTTAGGTTTTACCGTATTTCATGCATCTTGAATCTATTATTTCTCATTTTATTTTAATAAAATCAATGAATTTATTTTATAAATATTTATACAGTCTACATATTGTCCTTATTACATTTCAGTGTGTGATAGGAGACAGAAGTTTAACATGTAATACGTTACTTAAATGTCACTTGTATTAGTAAATAGCCACACATTGTCAGCTCATATTGCATTTTCAACCTCCTCCTGCTCTGATTTCATGTCTAAAAAATCAACACAACACTTTAAGTAAATACAGTAGTATCTCTTGGAGCTGTTACTATAACCAATTTTCCTTAATTGGCAAACATCAATAGGATTAGCTTTTTTGTGACGTTTCTGGGAACTACTGAGATATTTTACGACCTTCCATCTATTGAACTTCTTTCTGTCATCCCGCCATTTAAACTCTTTGGCAGGCCACACTATGTGGCGCCCATCCATTTCATCCATCCATTTTGCTCTGTAAGCCAGAGGATAGATGGTAAGTTGCTTCAGCCTTTTGTTTCCAATGTTTCTGAACTCTCCCATCCGGATATCTTAATTTGGGATTGCTTGCTATGACAACAACCAATCAGCCAGTTCGTTCATGAGTCAAAAAGCTTATCTTATCCCAGTGGCACTCCACCCTAATTTCTAAACATGTCTCTGCTATTTTTGACTGTGGTTTACAGGTAAGTCTTAAACAATAAGAATGCAGTGCTTATTTGAGTAGATTTTTTTCAAATAACTTGGCTCTCGTGAACTAGTTAGAAATAATTAGTGCTGTGAACATGTTTTCCAGACATACTTGATCCAGCATAAATAAAAGAAAATAGTGTTGCAGCCAAGGCAGCAGAATACAGTAATGCTGAGTCATGTGAAGTTAATTAGCACAGTTGATTTTTATACACTCATCGGCCACTTTATTAGGTACACCTTGCTAGTACTGAGTTGGACCCTCTTTTGCCTTCAGAACTGTCTTAATTCTTGGCAGCATAGATTCAGTAAGGTGCTGGAAACATTCCTCAGAGATTGTGGTCCATATTGACATGATAGCATCCATGATCTCCCGTTCCACCACATCCCAAAGGTGTTCTACTGGATTGAGATCTGGTGACTGTGGAGGCCATTGGAGTACAGTGAACGCATTGTCATGTTCAAGAAACCAGTTTGAGATGATTTGAGCTTTGTGACATGGTGCGTTATCCTGCTGGAAGTAGCCATCAGAAGATGGGTACACTGTGGTCATAAAGGGATGGACACGGTCAGCAACAATACTCAGGTAGGCTGTGGTGTTTAAACCATGCTCAGTTCGTACTAAGGGGCCCAAAGTGTGCCAAGAAAATATCCCTCACACCATTACACCACCACCAGCAGCCTGAACCGTTGATACAAGGCAGGATGGATCCATGACGCCAAATTCTGACCCTACCATCTGAATGTGGCAGCAGAAATCCAGACTCATCAGACCAGGCAACATTTTTCCAATCTTCTATTGTCCAGTTTTGGTGAGCCTGTGTGAACTGGATTGGCTGATGAACTATTTGCGTTAACGAGCCCTTGAACAGGTGTACCTAATAAAGTGGCCAGTAGTGTATTAAAAAGCAGTGTGTAAGATTTTTGGGGGATTTAGTGGCGTCTAGTGTTGGGTTGCACTTGGGTGAAAGTGTCTACGTGTCGTTACTAACAGAGAATAAATGTTTTCATTTTGCAGGTAAGAGCAGAAAGGCTTCCCGTTCCAGTCGTTCCTCAGCCGGCCTCCAGTCTCCAGACTACCCCACACTGCCCATGACCCTGTCCACAGAGGCTCTGCAACAGAACAACAAGAACCAGCGCACAAAGTTCCCCAAAAGCTTCTTCATCAAACCCTCCCTGAAGGGCTTCAACCTGCTGGGGATGCGCAAAGCCCAAAGACGGTCCCCCATCCAAGCCAGCCGCAGCTGTGAGGACCTGGACGGACCCACACAGCCCGTTGGACCTTGGAAACGCTCCCACTCTCTGGGAGATCTGCACTGGGAGCAGAACGTTGATCAGAAAGATCTGGGTGTGGAGCTTAAACTCACCAAGGAAGCACCCAAATCAGGCAACAACAGCCCAGCCAAGGTCTGTAAAGATGAGGGTTCACCAGCTCAGAATGGGACTCCCACAGTGAGCCCAAAAGGAAGGGCAGACAGGCCACCCGTGCCCTCCCAGCTGCCTCTCCGCCCCCCTTGTCCCACACCCCAGTCCCCCAACCCTCCAGAGCTCCTCTCTAGTCCTACTCCAAGTCCCCCTGATTCTAATGCCAGCGGGGAGAGGGTCATCCGGACTCACCCCAAAAAGCCTCCAGTCCCTCCTCCCGTTCCTGCCAAGAAATCTAGGGAAAGACTCGCCAACGGCCTGCGTCACCCACCTCTCTCCCTGCCTTCCTCGCCATCACCCACTCCCTCCCCTACCCACTCCCTCACCCGTTCTCACCCCAGCAGCCCCGTCATCCGCAGCCCAAGCTTCGGTGCCCCAGCTTTGCCTGCCAAGACCCCGAGCACCCCCGCAAGCCCCTGCGCCACCTCATCCGCCTCATCCTTGGGCGAGGAGTCAGGCACTCCACCAGCAGTGCAGCCCCCATGGTTTTCAGATCTGGGGGGCAAGGTTGCTGTTGCAAGGAAGGTTTCTCATGTGAAGATGAGTCCTGACCTGTTCACCCTCCTGGAACAACGGCTGGAGGCTGAGGGCATCGATCTTACGGAGGAGCCCTATTCTGACAAGGTTAGCAAAGAATCATTAATCTAAACATGAGACAAGAAAAATCACCTCACAGTTTAGATTACAGATATATTTGGCATGACTTTTGATTGTGTTGCAGATCGATAAGTACACAGATGCACCATTTGTATTCAGTTAATAACCTCATACACTTGATATTCAATTCAAAGTATGAAAACTCCCAGACAGACTTGTAGTAATTCATTATTCTGAACTCTTTGTACATGTAAGTTTTTGTGCTGATAGATAATCAAGAAAAACATACACACACTAAGGTTCAGAGATGAGGTGAGGAATTCTATTTAAAAACCACATCTTAGCCGGCTCATAACAAAGTCATATGAAATCATATTTCCATGGTTAATGTGAAAATGGGGCTCCGGGACACCTCTGGGCTAAACGTGTCTGGCGTCAGGCTCTTTTAGTTTAGCATCATAACATGCCTTACTTAACTCAAGTCATAATTTAACTTCAGCTTGGATCCAAATTACTCAGTCCAACAACACCAGCGGCTTACTTTGGAACTCATTTAGTTTAAAAATAGAGACTAATAGAGTCTAAAGTTTGTGTGTTCCTCTTTGTGTGCAGATGCCTTTTTGTTTGCATTTGTGAGAGAGTGTGTGTGTGTGTGTGTGTGTGTGTTCATGATAATAAATACGCTGCCTCGAGCTGAGGGAAAGACTGTGGACTGAGTCTCACTATGATGCGGTTCAGACTGTTAAGTTTATGGGCTGAATCTTACTGAAGGCAGACGGGGTTATAAAACCCTCTGCCACTCGCCAGACCCCAGGCTGGGCCTCTTTAACATGGTGGAGCCCCCGACACTGGCAGGAAAACAACAAACACACACAGAGGCATCAAGACAGGAGGTGAGAAACAGTGCGTTAGACCACAGCACAGCTCGGCTGTATTCTTATTAGTCAGAAGTGGGTTGGCAGGAACATGAGAAGCACGCTGCAGCTGCAGTAGCAACATGTAGGGTCTGAACATAAAGGCAGTAAGTGGTGTCAAAGGTCATACAGCTCTAAATATTTTGAAATAGATTCTTTCCATATGGTAATTAAGCTGTGCAAAAAAGAGCATTTGGCCTTGGTATTGAACATGAGCACTTTCTGACAACAAATGTTACCACAGCACTGAGGATCTAGAACAATTAAGTCTTAAAAGTTGGCACTGAATGTTCGGTTTGCCTCATTTTAATTACTCATTTATGAGACATTTGCCTATATAAATTATGAGAGGAGGAGGTTTCATTTCATTTTTCAGTTTTTTAGGCAATATTTAAGTTTGGGAAGTTGTTGTAAACCTGCTGAAGATGTCCCAAATGACATTTTTCCTCTTACCTGTAGTGCCATTAGTCAGTCTGGATTGTTTTGGTGTGAGGTGCCGAGTGTTGGCGATATCAGCAGTAGAGATGTCTGCCTTCTCTTGGGCTGCCCCCAACTAAGAATTTTCCTAGTTGACCAATAGTCATCATTTAGGGCCATTAGTCAAGTAGCCGCCCGCATGTTTACAAAATTAATTGGATTATGGACTTATATATTTTGGGCGGGGCAACACAATGGTTTGAGTTGAAGATGTGAGAAAGAATAGTATCAGTAACATTGTTAACACTGTGCTACATTACAGAGAAATACAAAACCGTACTAATGAACCTTCATTAATATAGGCCTATATTTTATCTACAAGTGCACGTCACACAATGAGCGAGCTGGCTGTTAATGACGCTGTCGGCTAATGGGCATGTAGCTACTTCCATGTTTCAGATGATGTTTCACATCACGTTTGTAGTCGACCAATGAAGATGAGTTTACATATCACCTTGGGTTCGTCCTTCACAGGGTATGAAATTAACTAAATATTTTGGGGGCAATTTTGGCCCCCACGGTCTAAAAAAATGGGGGCATTTTCCAAATGTTTGGGGGCCATCAAAAATTGTAATTATGTTCTAACAATAAGCACATGAAAAGCAAAACCAACTAAGATAGTGTCTTCACTCTTCAGTAGAAACCACTATAAATGAAATAAATAATGGGTTACATAAAGTTATGATTGCAAAATATCACTCAGATTTCCTATAATTCAACCAGTTTAAATGTGATGATTTAACCATTAATCTACTGATAGCAGTACTAATGTTTCACCACATTACAGTTACTTTTACTGTTAAAAAGGCCAAATTACTATAAATTCCTTAGATGCAATCCTGGAAGTAAGTTAATTTAAAATTTAACATTCATTCTACCTTAATTTTTCATTAATTTGTCATTGTGTAGACACAGATCACCCAAGAAATGGTTAATTTATACTTATGGTACAGCAAAGCCCCCTCCCCTTCTCTGTCAGATTACTCTCATGTAATCAGTGCAATCTCGTTGATTATGTCTGGAAAATGAGTTGTAGAAGTGACGGTAAATTAATTTAATGAAAATAAAATAATACTTTAATGTCAGATTGTAATACTGTTAAAAATATAAATACATATAGTTATTTAGAAAACATGGGGGCAATTTTGGCCCCCGGAACATGGCTTTTGGGGGCATTCTTGGATAAATTGCGGGCCAAATGGCCCGTGGCCCTCGCTAATTTCTGATACTGGTCCTTCACCTTCTCAAAATGATCCCACACTTTGAATTTCCTGCCCGACATGTTATTGACTAGCCTGTGGAATAACCGCAGGTACCAGCCCTGTAAAGTAACATGACGTCTGTCTGACTGCTGAGCGTGGCCTCTTCCTGTGTCTGTCCTTTCAAATTAAAGTCCCATGGTCCAGTCATATAGGCTTTGATTTATTTTCACAGGGTGCCGCTTCTACTAGAGTTTCATGTTTTGTTTAGTTTTTTTTTCTGCGACTAAGCGACCAATGAAATCTTGCTAACTAATGACCTTTCTGGTTGACTAGCGTTTGGTTGTCTATTAGGGGACAGCCCTACGTGGAACTAGATGTGTCTTGGCTTATTGAGCTCAAATCATCAAAAAATAAGATTTGAACAACTCCAAAACTATGTCTCTTCCCAGAAATCATGACTCAGTCAGTCAAGATAATCCACAGACCTTGATGTGAGCAGTTTTATGTAAGAACTATTTTCTTTCTGCCGAACTAAACCCACAAACCGAATCACTGCGCAGAGGGAAGCATGAAACTGGTACATGCTTTCTGGAAAGAGACACTGCTGTTGAGGGGGTTTTTTGGCGTTTGAGCAAAAACTAAGTTCTGTCTAGTTCTATTGAGAAAAGGCAGACGTCACTACTACCGGTATCTCCAACACTCGGCAACTCACACTAAAAAAAAATCTAGGTAAAAGGAAAAATATGTATTTTGAATTCTGGAGTGAACTGTCCCTGATGCACTTTGGAATATTTTATCCAATTTAAAAAGAAAGCGGTCTAGAAAAACATGTTTATATTCCTAAAAATAAACTATGCAAAAAGTACAATTGTGGTAAAGGTATCATAATGGTATTACGAAATTTCAATCTATCTATCAATTTTATCCATAGGAACGATAAGAGAGAATAAAACAATTACTGTATGTCTTAAAACATGTTCATTGTTGGCTGCCTTAAGGCATCTGGCCCCGTCTTATCCAAGCAGTACGCAGGGTACGTTTGTATGACCTGCTCTCCATCCCTCTCTCCGGAGAGATCAGTTCCTCCACCCACCCACCCTTTGATCCTCAAAAGATCTGCAGTCCAGTTTGGCCAACCAAAACCAGACCTGGCTGGAAACCTGCCATTGCTCCAGGTGTCTACACAAAGAGAAAGAGGGAACAAGAAAACATGTTGAAAAGGTTCAGCAGAGCTTTCAGCCCAGCTTCATCGCTCACATAGCCACTGCTCATATAATTCTTTAAATAGTCATCTCTCCTATCCTAATCTTTTCCCTTTTATTAGTGCAAAACAAGATAAAGCTCACCGGCAGAAACAGACCTACAAAGCATGATTTAACTGTACTTTCAGTGTCAGTAAAAACAGGGATTAGGGTGTTGATGATTAACTGTACAAGAGCCAGTACAAAATACACTGACCTGAGTTTAATTATAGACTCTATATTCTGCTGTTTGTCTTCATATGTCTCCGACTCTCTTTAGAACTATGCTCATTACCTCAGCAGAAGATGTTCTTAGAGCAGTAATTTGACACCATTAGTCTGCTTTGTTCAGTCATGAACAAACAGATCTGTGTCCTCATAATGACTGTAATAAGTCAAAATGCTTCATGTTGTTTCACACTGCTTACGTCTGACCTAATGTCTTCGTCTCTGAAAACACAGATTTGCATTTATCCGTGTGGTTTAAATGCAGTCCTCTTTAAATATCCCTTCATGTTCCCTTCTCTCCTCCAGCATGGCCGCTGCGGCATCCCCCAGCCGCTGGTGCAGCGTTACTCTGAGGATTTGGAGCAGCCCGTCAAGGATGTGGCCTCCACCATGGACCAGCTCCGAGTCAAAGAGCTCCGTAAACAACACCGCATGGCTGTAAGGCAACAACACTAAGCACTTCATATCAATGGAGACAATGTTGGAGGGTGTTTTGGAGTTATAGAGCTATATAAAGGCTTGGTTAGGTTTCCTAGAGAGTACAATGCAGGCTGGAAAATAGACCAGTGGTGACAGTAATTTCCCTGGACCTGAGGCTGGCGCCTGAGGAGCTGTGATTATTGTGCTTGCTTATAGCTGTGGTTGGTGACTTTTAAAAATAAGTTTTTCTCATTTTTGACAAATGACATAAGTATATGAGACACCTAATCTTTGAAAAAATCGTGTTCCTCTGCCTCATCTTAGTGCTTCTAATGGCTTTTGCAAGAATCCACTGTGCCTGAATGGACCAACCAATCAGAGTGTCTGAGAGAAAGTGAAGTATCAGAGAAACTGTTCAGCTGTAAAATGAAAAGGTTTGTGACCTGGCCGGTGGGTGGTAGCTTAATTTTTGCTTGGGTGTTCCCAACTTGGCGACCAGGTCACAAATTTTCTCATTTTACAGCTAAACAGTACACTCTAAAATATGTTTCTGAAAACATCTGAGATGTGATATAGGCAATGCAGTTACAGAATCTTGATTCATATTTGATTAGTGCTGCCTAGTTTGACAGTTTGACCGCAGTTCACAAGCACTGATTTACATGATTGACAGCTACATTAGAGACTCCTCTGCTCTGATTGGTCGGTCCATTCAGGCACAGTGGATTCTTGCAAAAGCTATTAGAAGCACTAAGATGAGGCAGAGGAACACGATTTTTTCAAAGATTAATATTTCAACAGCGCTGCATAGTTTGACAGTTTGACCTTAGTTCCCAAGCACTGATTGACATGATTGACAGCTGCGTTAGAGAATCCTCTGCTCTGATTGGTTAGTTTTGTTAGGGGCCTTACACATGCTGTGTCTTTAACTGCCTGGAAAATGCGAGGTTGGGCACTGGGCGCTACTCCTGTGTCTACTCTGTGCCAACTTTCAAGGGCACGGAGGCAGGTTGCATCTGAGGTTGCTAAGCAACCTTGACAAGCATCGTATAGCCTATTTACCTGAAATCCTGAGTGCAGAGCTGATCTTCCAGGAGCTGTTTGTGTAGGCCTATCGTCCATGGAACAGATGTAAAGCTCTGGGTAGCCCTGCATCAAAATAATCAACTTTTCCATGTTTACCACAGACTGATATTGATGGAAGAAGAGAAAGATATGTCGGCTGTGATTGGTTGGTCATCATCACAAGACATGCGGTGCGCGCTGCTGCGTTCCAAAAGTTGAGCTAGGTTTATCTTGAGGCGCAGCCGTCATGCCCTGAAAAATAGACACTCAGGAATGCGTGCGTGCCATGACGGCGTCGCTCTGGCATTTGAGTGTGCCTGCCACGAGTCTACATTGAAAACAACGGATTTCTGGGCACCAAAAACGCAGCCTGTGTATGGCCCCTTAAGGCACAGTGGAGTCTTGCAGATTCCATTAAATGCAATAGGCAGAAGAACATGATTTTTTTAAAAAAAATAATATCTGTCTCATGTAATACTGCATGGATGTAGTGGCAGTTTCAGCAAATATGAGAAAAAATGACCTACAAAAATCACCAATTGTAGCTTTGAATATCTCACAAGCTAAGTAAATGTGTAGGGAATTTTTAATGCATTATTATTATACTTTACCACGACTTTACATGATTTGTCCAAAACAAAAAAAAAGAAGCTAAAGTTGACATTTGAAAACCTCACCACAGATCTCTCTGTATATTCACTAATGCCTTTTTACCCCACTGTGTCACACAGATTCCCTCTGGAGGTTTGACAGAGATGTGCCGGAAGCCTCTGCCCTCAGGTAACATCAGCACCGTCTCTGACTGGCTCACCTCCATCGGCCTGCCCATGTACGCCACATCTCTGGCGGCGGCGGGAGTCGACACACTGAGTCGTGTGGCCTTGTTAACAGAGAGCAGCGTGTGGGAAGCAGGTGTGCGGGATGAAAGACACGCCCGTCGGCTGGTCAGTGAGGCACAATTGGTCGGCTCGCACAAAGAGGTGCAGTCCTAACTGTGCTGGTAGAGTCATATTAAGTAACAGGTATAACTCACTGGTCAGCACTATCTCATTTAAACATGGTCAGTAGGCGGGTGAAGACAAGTTGGCCGCTGGACTCGATGATCACACGAGTGACCGCAGCACTACAGTACTTCCTGTCTTGCATGTGTCAAAAGATTCAAGTGAGTCCCCATGCTCTCTGATTTTCTTTCTTTTATCACTCCTTTCTCAAATGTTTACGGCGTTTGGGAGTTTCTCCTAAGAGCCAAGACAAGATATCAGATGCCTTTTTTAAAAAAAGACTGTAGACTCACTCTATGGGATGGCTTCCACTCTGAAGACACCCCCGAAGTCTTAAAATAAAGACTTGGATCTGCCTTGAAGGAAGATAGCACACTCTTTTGTAGGATGGATGTTTTGGGGTTTTTTTAAATACAGAAAGGACGGTTTACTTCCTGCATATTTCATAAGTGCTTCATTTTAATCCTTTGCGGCAAGGCAACATTATCTGAGGGTCTTTTACGGAAGTAGCTCGGCCAAAGTGATTCACTCCTCATTCAGCTTTTCATTCCCACTAATAGGTTCATAATGACACAGATCACTTAGTGTCTGGACTTCTAATCAACTAAACACACACACCAAACTCTGAGTAACTGGTGGTTTTGAGATGGCTTATTTTGTATCATGTTTCTGTATTATAGCATAACGCATATCTTAATTTTAAAATGATTTATATGTTAAAACTTGTGTTTGCCTTTTGAATGTTGCAGCCTTATTTCGAGGCCAGCTCTCAGTCATTTCTAAGCTGAAACAGCTGACGTCACACCTTTATATTTCATATTATACTGTGTGTCCTATTTTACTGCATATCTTGGATGCACGATTTGCGCCGGTATGAATTCAAGTCTTACAGAAAGCTGTTTTATTCCAGTAATCACAATCAGCTTTCACAGCAACAAAACATTCCCTGTGCATCCAAGCACGTTTTAAGTTGCCTTACCATTACGAATGAATAGCTTCATCACATAGAACATATGTATAGTGTTGACTATACTGCCAGGCTGAACTGTGCTGAAGGTGCGAGCCTCTTTGTTCCGAATGTGTCTGAGAGATAATTGAGATTTCATACACACTCAACCACATCATTTTAGCTGCACACATGGACGTGGACCACAGAACATGCCCCCGATGGATTGTGGTTTCTATACCAGCGAAGCTCAGATGATAAAGCAACAAACCCAGAGGCACGACACAGACGTCGTCCCGTGTTCAACGTCCCTGTTCAACACATTCGCTGTACATGTTCCATACAGATGGTTGTGGGACAAGAGAGGGAGTATAAAATGTTCTGAGACACAGCTGACATCTGGGCTGTCATATCTGGAATTTATTGGACTGTCTACACTTGGTTACAGTGTTGAGGGGTTTGATTTACAGCTGGATAATAAGCTGTTTGGGGCTTTTTAAAAACACATTATACTGTAGCTATAATCAGAGCCGGTCTGAAATTCTAAATTGGAATTTTCTAAAACACACTGAGGATGGATAGTAAGGTGGTTATATCAGGTGAAAAACTGACCTCCAAGGTCAGCATACATGTACGGCGTGATTTTACCAAGTAGGACATGTTCCTGGATCAACATTCCACATTGCAATCAATCAATCACAGCCCTGTCTCATCTGTTAAACTATACAAAATTCTTAAAAGCTACTGCAGGTTTAGTGAGTTAGCTTGCTAACTAGGGAGGCTATGCTAACAAGTAAACTTGCCAATACACTAGAAAATTAGCAAGTAAGCTTGCCAAGTAGGTAGGCTATGCTAAGCTAACCAACAGGCTAGATTATTGTTGACAAAGATTAAAGATAATATTTTTCAGTTGCAAATAGCTGCAAATCACCACATTTTCCCAGCCTACCTAGTTAGCAAGCTAACTAACTGCTATGTTGGTATCCACATTAACAAATTTTCCAAAATCAGCCTGATAATGATGGTCCCAGATAAACCTAAACAAATCTATCCAAAATCAACATGGAAAAAAAGGAGGGGACATGTGTTAATTGCAAGAATTTGCAACTAAGAATGCTATTATCCTCACTCATTGTAATGTACAACTTATATGTTAGCATAGTCTACCTAGTTAGCAAGCTGTTTTGCTAATATTATAGCCTATTGGCAAGGTTACTTCTTAGCATAGCCTACCTAGTTAGCAAGCTGTTTTGCTAATATTCTAGACTATTGGAAAGCTTACTTGTTAGCATGCATACCTACCTAGCAAGCTAGTTAGCTAATATTCTCGTCTATTGGCAAGGTTACTTGTTAGCATAGCCAACCTACTTAGCAAGCTAACTCGCTAATATTGTCAGGTTTACTCATTAGCATAACCAACTAGTTCAACATCACTGAGGATTTGGTTTAACTGTACTAACTTCAATTTGGAAAACTAGCTTAGCTCTGAAGAAGCTGAAGTGCAGGAGCAGCACACTGATGATGTCAAAGGGCTGTGATTGGTTAATTGCAATGGTCCAGGAATGCAATGTGGGATATTGTTCCAGGAGCATGACCTACTTGGCAAAATCACATTGTGCTGCCAGCATACACTATGACACTAAATAGTTTTGTAAATCAGGGAAACACTGAGTCGGGTCAGCCTGTTACAAAATGACAGGCTAGAAACAGAACAGAAACTAATATCCTCTTTCATTTGCGCACTTTGCATAAATTGGAGCTAACATTTGTGTTTTTCTCTCTTTTTTCTAACAGCAAAGTTCGATCTTTCATAGTCAGAATTGAACTGAATATTCCATGGAGTTCACATTTAAACATTTGACCAAGTGTTATTGCTAAAATTAGAGGATTTTTTTTTTTTTTGCAGTGGGCACTTGATAGGTAGATGTTTGATGCCTTTTTCCTCTTCAATCAAAAGTGGTGCTCTGAGAAAGCGAGGGTGGGGGTCGTTATTATTAAAAAAAAAAAAAAAAAAGTAAAAGACCCAAGAAGTGTTTTGTAAAGAATGAAAATACTGACACTGTAAATGCACTTTAGAGGGTAAATCTAGCTGTTTTATAGGCGGAATTGGCTACGTTTGGTTCACAGGTCCATAAACGGACGTTTGTTGTCAGGTATTGTAAAGGGTTTCAATGGGTCATGCTGGTATTTTATTTTAGTATTGAGTTCCCAATGCCAAGTTTGATAACCATTCACGGGTTAACCTGTTCCAGCTACTCACTTCGTTTGTTTTTTGCAGTCTTATAAAAAAAATAAAATTCTTAATTACATATATGAAATGCTTAGCAGACGTTGCACATTCTGTATATGTAATTGATATTTAAATAACTTATTTTTGCTTTTTTTTCATATCAACTGTAATTAGCTGTACTATATGAATAGCAATACCTTCCTGCATAATGCATATTGCTTTAGCCAGTGAGGAACTACAGTATGTATTGTAAAATATGTGTACAAATTATTTTATTTGGTTTTCATCTACCTAATGATTGTCCATACAGATTTGCTTGTGTATTGAAACAACAAAAGTAATGTCCATAACTATTTGTCATTCTGAAATATAATAAAAACTGTTTCTTGCCATACACTGGCCTCCTGATTCTCACTTTACACATACACACACACACACACACACACACACACACACACACACACAGTAGTGGGAAGATTTGGGCATGGACTGCTGGCTCTTTTCATCCATGTGGTTAACTGTGACACTGGACGTTGGCCTGCTGATAACTTTCCCTAATAACATTTTGAAATTAAAAATGAAAAAGCGTGGATGGGCGACAAAAGGAATAATAACACCAGACCTGATTTGATTAAACACCGCCTGGCAAACATGTTATTATTTTATTCTTAGATTTAAGAAAAGAAAATAATCTATTGTTCATTCAGGGTTTGGGCAAATGTAAAAAATAGAACACAATGCTGTGACCTTTAATGGGACGTGTACTCTCCAGTATCTCTGAATAGCAGCTCCTGTACTGTCCTGTGCTGCCTTCCAGTCACAGTCGGATGTTGGAAATTTCCATGTCCAATATTCATACTTTGTATCATTCATATGTTCACTTATTTAAATAGATAAAAAAGATAGCAGGACAAGTTCATGAAGATATATGTGTAATATTAATATTGTTTTGTAAGGCAAAGACAATTGATATATTTTTCATATGGTTTATATTTTTAAGTCACGGATAATTGGTCATTTATATCTTATACTAAGACAATATTAAAAGGTAATAAATGTATATGTAGAAAGGTCTCAGGTATAAGACTTTTATAAGGTATAAGGTATTTATCTAAATAAGGAAGGTGTCTCTTTCATTTTGCTCAATAAGATTTTGTTTCCTTCCACTCCTTTTTGAATGTGTAAATCAGCCCTGTTGTTAGCCGTCCTTTAGCCATCATCAGCCCCGTTGTTAGCCGCCCTTAGCCATCATCAGCCTCGTTGTTAGCCATCCTTGTGCCCTCATCAGCCCCGTTGTAAGCTGTCCTTTAGCCATCATCAGCCCTGTTGTTAGCCGTCCTATACCTACCATCAGTCCTGTGGTTAGCCATCCTTTAGCCGCCCTCAGGCCCATTGTTTGCTGTCCTTTAGCCATCATCAACCCGTTGTTAGCCTGTCTTTTAGCTGTCATCAGCCCTTTTTTTTTAGCCATCCTTTAGCCATCATCAGCCCGTTGTTAGCCTGTCTTTTAGCTGTCATCAGCCCTTTTTTTTAGCCGTCCTTTAGCCATTTTCAGGCCTGTTGTTAGCCGTCCTTTAGCCCTCATCAGCCCCATTGTTAGCCGGCCTTTAGCCATTTTCAGGCCCGTTGTTAGCCGTCCTTTAGCCATCCTCAGCCTCGTTGTTTGCCGTCGTTTAGCTGGCCTCAGCCCTGTTTTAGCCTGTCCTTCAGCTATCATTAAGCCATCCTTTAGCCGTCATCAGCCCTTTTGTTTGCCGTCCTTTAGCCGTCATCAGGCCCATTGTTAGCCCATTGTTAACCAATCGTTTAGCCGACATCAGGCCTGTTGTTAGTTCATCCTTTAGCCGTCATCAGGCCCATTGTCAGCTCGTCCTTTAGCCATCAACAGGCCCGTTGTTAGTTTGAGAGAGACAGCCAACGAGCTTGACGAAATGCCCAAACGGAAGTATAACACAGAATGTATCAAACTGTATGGACCTTGAACTAATGACGAGGTAGAAATCTTTATGTGACATCCTATCAGGGACCAGATTTGGCCCAGAGCATAAGTTGAGTATCACTGGTTTACCATTTACAATGTAGGCTTCCATGGGCGCTACCATTGTTATGTGACATCAGACAACTGCTTCTTTATGAAGTCAGGGTAGATGGATTTGCCCGCAGTTTACAAGTAGGAACCCTGACTCTGAGTGGCGTTTCATTGTACTTTTTCTAGTAGGTCAGAAATTTTCGAGTTCCAAATTGTCTGGAATGCAGCATTACTATACTGTCAAAGGTTCAGTTGGCGTTTGCAGCTATAATATCAAGGAGCTTAACAACATTGTCTTGCTGTGTCTGGCTTGTTATGCCTTCTTTAAAGAAACCACACACATCTGTTCAAGACCAAGACAGCAGAGTTCCACTGCCTCACTGGCTCTTGTTACAGTACAGCTGTTGTCAATGAAACCACAAGCAAGGGTTTCTAGTCTTATTCATGTCAGGAATCCCCAAATTGGTACTCAGCAGAGCATGGACCCCAGTTTGATAAAATTTGGTCCCAAAAAAGAGATTTTACTGGCATACCTTGTCTCTCAGCTGGTGTCTGGTGTTCTTCTCAGTCGAAGCAGACATAACTGAACAAGCACGTCTTTTAAAAAGAAGAAGAAAACCTGATTAGTGTGTCTTCCTCGGCTAGTTGCTTGTACCTTTAAGACAGGAGTCACTGTCCAATAATTGTCCTTCATACAGCTGTAATAAGCAGTTAACTCCCAGTTCACGACTCTGTCTTCCACAGATACAATTGCTCATCCAATTTAAAATGTCTCAGGAGGGGAAGACGAGACCTTATTGCAATGAGGACTTTCTGCCTCGTGTTTCTCACCATTATTCTGAACCACCTTCCTCTGCAGTGTTCGTGCATGGCCGTACCAGTGTCTATATACAATCTAAAATCCCTCAAATTCTGCAGCGGGATCACAATATTTCACCGTAAAGGAATTAGATTTTATTTTAGGATTCCTACAATGACTCCTTTCCTTTTAAATTACTGGATCACAGCATACTTTATCACTACAGACCATGAATAATTAACAAACACAGAGTCACAGGAGAGCAAGAATAATAGTCCTCATTCATAAACTGTAATGAGTGTCGCACTTTTATCGATCCTTATAGGGTAATTCTCTTGCCACTTGTTTCTCTGCAGAAACAACAGAAGTCACTCAAGTAGTTCCTCTGAAAGTTTGTCAAGTCTCATAAAGTTTACTTTAGTGTTGGATGACAAATCCAACTATTTGAATTTGCAGCCCCCAGGTTTATTCCCCCTGCACAGAAACCTATTGATTCTTAATATGGTAGGGTAAACTCAATTAAGTGGCCCCTTAGTCTTAAGCGCAGTGAGCCTTGTGGAAATGTGCAAATGGTCATCATGCCAAAATGAGGTTCATTTCTCTCTGTCTCCTAATTTTTTCCAATAATATTATTTACTTTAATTTGACTTTAGTAGTGTACACAAACCTTGAGTAATCACAGGTGCATAGACTTTGTTTATTGAATCTGTATGACATTTTACAAACACCAAACTCGGAGGACCTTCAGTTGAATCTGAAGTTGATTTAAAAGCTAAAACCTGCATGACACATCTCGGCTTATTGTATTTTAAACATCGGAGTTTGTTTGTGCTTCCTCCATGTGCTCCGCTTTCCTTCCACAGTCCTAAGAAAAGGTATGACACCACCAGAAATGATTTGGTTTCAATCCCTCAGCCAGTAGCTCTGATTAGACTTAAACCTGATTTAAAGCAGTGACCTTACAGACATCCATACTATTGTTCTGTGTAATAAACCCCAGTGCTTCAGGGGAGATTGGGCTATAAACCCATAATGCATTCACACTCATTTTGCCTAGCTTGCAAAATACAGTGCTGTACATTTCATTTACCTGTGGAAAAGCCAACAGGCAGAATTATCTCTTACGCTCTTCTTTATTGCCTTTTCTCTTTTAAGCCAAATTGTTTCTCACAGCCGTTGCTGCTCCCCTGACTACTGTAGCTGTCACCGGTGAAAGTCTTGGTGAGGTAGTTAGCGTGCTGAATGACTGTTGTTGTTTCCTAAGTGCAGGTGTAGTCTAATGGTGGGTTCTTCTCCTGCTGTGGAAGGATATATGACTCAGTGTACGGTCCTTACAGCTGGCCTCAGGGGAAAGAGAAAGTTTAAAACACACAAACACTCTCATACATAACAAGTGAGCAGATACTCATCTCAACTTCTTTTCAACATCAAGCATCTTTACCCGTCCATAAAGAAGTATTTCACTGCTGGAATGATGGTCTTTTTTTTTTTTTAATAAAACTCTGTAGTAGAAATACTTTCGAAATTGATGGTACATGATGAATGAAAACAAAAGAAAAAAGGTTGTGGCATTTGCTTTTGCTAAAGAGGTAAAATACCTACAATAACCAGAATGCACTGCGCTGCACCAGACCAACAAACACTGCCCCTGTTGGTGGCCTAATACAAGTTTGTCTATTTTGCCACAGGAAACTATGTAGTAGTGGAATGGTAACAAACAATCTTGAATTACAGTAAAACGGTAAGCTAAAATATGTTTTTGCAAACACATGAGGCGAAAAACAAGCGATGCAGTAATAGAATCATGGTGCATATTTTGTCAGCATAGCCAACTGCAGTTAACGTTAACCTCTTTCTAGCTACATAACCCGCCCACCTGAACCTACTCGTCAGTGCATTATCAGTCCCTCTTGCTCCTTGGCCTGGAAGCAGAAGTGTCAACGTAACAGCTGTCAGCAGTTAACTAGCTATGTAGTACTGCATTAAAAGAGAGGTGGTTAAGGTTAGGGTAAGGCAAGGAAAATATAAATAATATATTTATATAAATATATGTAGGGTAAGATGGGGTAAGAATCTCCGTGGGGTAAGATTATGATTATCTAGTAGTCATATGTAACCTCATATAGTTCATATAGTAGTAGTATATTATTGTAGTTTTAACAGCTTGCTGGTGTTATTAGCTAGCAATCATTAGCATTGCTAGTAATCTAGAATTAGCCAAAAAGTTTTGCAAGCTTGCTGGAGGAAGGGATCCTGAAATACAAAAAAATAAGCCTGAAATAAAAACATCCTAAAATAAAAACAAGTAGCCTGAAGGAAAGGCTAAAATGTTTCTAGATAATTCATTTATGGGTCAGGGTTGGAATTTTAATTTTATATTATTAATCAATCAATTAATTTTATTTATAAAGCCCAATATCACAAATCACAATTTACCTCACAGGCCTTTACAGCATATGACATCCCTCTGTCCTTAGGACCCTTGCAGTGGATAAGGAAAAAAAAGTATTTTTTAGTTATTATTATTATTATTATTATTATTATTATTATTATTATTATTATTATTATTATTATTATTATTATTATTATTATTATTATTATTATTATTATTATTATTATTATTATTATTATTATTATTATTATTATTATTATTATTATTATTATTATTATTATTATTATTATTATTATTATTATTATTATTATTATTATTATTATTATTATTATTATTATTATTATTATTATTATTATTATTATTATTATTATTATTATTATTATTATTATTATTATTATTATTATTATTATTATTATTATTATTATTATTATTATTATTATTATTATTATTATTATTATTATTATTATTATTATTATTATTATTATTATTATTATTATTATTATTATTATTATTATTATTATTATTATTATTATTATTATTATTATTATTATTATTATTATTATTATTATTATTATTATTATTATTATTTAGTTAGATAGCTCATTTTGAGCTTGGGGGCTTCTTGCCTCAATAGTGGATGAAGATGCCCTTTTACCAAATACTTATTTTTGTGCTGTAACAACAAAATTGGCCACTGTACCATTTTCTCCCAACATTGTGTTGGTTTAGGGGGCGATCACACCTACAAGGAGCACTAGAAACGAGACGCCAGTAAAAATAATTGATTCCCTATGATACGGCGCATCTGACTGGTTTTCAAGCATTTTTTATGACGAGCGTCTTTCTGGCGTCTTTTCAGATGCGTGTTCTTTTTCTGGTGTCTTTTTAGATGCGTGCTTGTAGACGCTGAAAGTTCAGGCGCCAGTAGCACCACCAGCAGAGCAACGGCAAGTGCCCTCCTCCATCTTGGGTCCATTTTCAATGATCGCCTGGTTGTGCATACACCCCCGCTCTACAGGCGCTCCTTGTAAGGGGCACTCATTGAAACCTGTAGGTGTGATCGGCCTCTTATGCATCATCATCCTGCACATGCTAAAATCACATCGGAATATGTTTTAATTTTACAGTAAATTGACTCTGTTCTTAAAGGGGGAATCTTCCCATATTTTACCCTATATAACATATTTTATATTTTCCTCGGGGTGAGGGCAAGGGCATAAGGTAGCTACAATGGGTCCCAGTGCAGGCTATTATAACGGGCCCTAACGCACGCTATTGTGCTCATGTCATCTTGTCACATGATCCATGACTTGACACTGGAATATATCAACAAGCAATCATCACTGCATATCTTTATATAACAAAAAGTACTATATAAATAATACTAAAAAATAATTTAACAATTTGAATAGTTGATTTATAGTTATAGAACAATAGATTTAAAGAATAGTTCATTTATAATTATAAATTAAGCACACAATTTTGTTATAAATGCTACTGACTATTTTACAAAAAAAGAAAAATTAACATAATGGGGGTGGGGTTGCCTTTTTCAAGGGCACATACAGCATGTGGCACTTTCTTTTTCTTCTATTTAATGAGAGTTCTAAGTTGAATACAGGCATATTGTCAAAGTGGCAATCACTCATAAGGGCCCATTCTCCACCTGACGCACTGTTTGGAAGGCCCATAGACATATATACATAGACGCCGCATCGAGCGCTGAGCCGTACGTCAACGTCGCCGCCATATTGGATATGGCAAGGCTGTGCTGTAAACTAATACAAGTAAATGGACTTAATTTCATAAAGCGCCTTTCTACAAAGAAATTTACGTTAATGCCTCTCGTTTATTCATTCACACACACACACACACTTGGGAAACAGGCACCAAAAATAATGTATTTTAACTTCTCAGATGGCTAAGATAAGAACTTTATTGACCCCACACAGGAGTAATTCACGTTACATCAGCTATAGAAAACAAGGTAGTGCCAAAAAACAATACACAGTATATATATATACTTGTATTAGTTTACAGCGCAGCCTTGCCACAATCAATATGGCGGCGAAATTGACGTATCGCAGCAGCGGGCAAACCCACTCGATGCAGTGTCTACGTATATGTCTATGGGAAGGCCCACTTTCTCTTTGGACCCCCAACCACACAGGCCACAGTGCAACCACACTGCCTGCACTGTCTCTGTGTAAGGGTAATGGGAAGGCTACATCTTGCTACTTATGCTAATGCTACATTAGCAGTTAGCTAACCTTAGCTATGACGTATTACCTTAAAAGAGAGGCGGTTTAAGTTAGGATAAGGGTAATGGAAAGAGTTACAGCTCGTTACTTGTTAAGTGAATTACGTATTATGAACTATAAAGCAGATTATAGCTACATTTGATCTCATTTACTCACCACAGTGTAGCATTGTAGCAGGGTTCAGCTAATGGTCTTGCTGGTAGGTTTGTCTTGTGCTAGTGGTGGGCGGGGCGTTGTTTGTGGGGGCGGGGCGTGTTTCTTACGCTTTACAATACAGGAAACAAAATGGCGCCGCTTCATGTTCACAAACTCTAGTAGTAACAGCTAAACAGTGCGCTAAAATATGCTTCTGAAGACATTTTAGGCGGAAAATGGGCGATATGGTAACAGAATAATGGTTTATATTTGATCAGCACTGCTTGATTTACCGTTTAATTGAAGTTTGGTCTGCTTTTGAGAGAAAGCCGTGTTTATCTTATGGCTTCTGTACTCTTTGTGTTGGCGGTGTCAGGCATACAAATGTGGAAGTACAAACTCCTGGTCGGCAGCAGCCAAGGAAACAACAAAAATGAGGTGAGAGATGAGCAACAGGGAGGTATGGGCGTTGGTAAGATGGTGAGAAGTTTACCACAGTTCATTAAACATACTAACCTCATTGTTTTGATACACAGCTGCTGGCAAAATATCCATGTCAGTGGTGGTAACGCTGTGTGTTGCATTTTCTGGATAATAAGCACTTTACAGGGTTAATAGATCACTGTGATGTTTCTATGTATGAATGTTTTATCTATTGGTATGTCCGTGTCATATCTCAAAATCATTAACAAACTACAAACGACCTCTATCATCACATTGTAAAGGCTGTGGTAAGGGATAAAGCCACCACTCTTTTATATCAACTGAAATGAAAATAGGTTTTAAACTCTCTCCACAGAGAGAGGAGGTCCTCTCAGTCTCTGCTGAGGCTGCTGCAAATCAAACTCATCTCAATGAAAGCCCACCGGCTGCCTGTAAATGCCCCTCTCCTCCCTGAACACTGGGTGACGCTGTTTTTACGCACTGCAATCCAACCCAAATCCTGTATGAGGTGGAAGTTTTTCCTCTTTCCACGTCCAGTAATCTGACACCCAAAAAGACTCGCAGCAGAAGGATGGACCCTTAACTCGGCTGGAAGGACGGAAGGAAGGAGCACTCACCCAACGAGCGCAAACGAGAGGGACCGAGCAGAAGCCGAAACCGCTGTGCGCAAAAAACAACCCCGTGGCTGCGGCAGCGGAGGAGAGGCTGGGTGCCTGCGCGTCTCCAAAATAACTGGCCGTCCGCTTCTAAATGCTCCCGAAGCGACAAGTTTCACTTTCCACAGGCGGATGGGTGACTTTCCACGGCGCTTTGTGAGGAGGAGATGATGAAGAATTTCAGCGGCAGTCCCCTTCACAGCAACAACCAGACTCCCAACCACGTTAGAGAGCGAAACAACAGAAAGTACAGCTTACTCTCTGTTATACCGCTGCGATTCTCCCTGCGAGGTTATGGTTTCTGCATGGCTACGCTGTTCCTCTTCTGTTTCGGCTCCCTTTTTTACCAGCTGAACGGAGGACCCCCTAAAATCCTGCTGGACATCCGACAGTATCTCGGTAAGAACTTTTTCATTTTTTCCTCTGCTGGCCGAAGCGCGTCATCATCAAAGAGATTCTTGTGAATAGAAGTTGCAGTGCACGTCTAGACGCCCTGCTTTGATTAGACGTGTAAAGGAAAGTTCATCCTAAAAATGAAAAGGGAACTACTGGGGGCTTGCACCTCTCATTCACTCCTCTTTTATGGTATCACCCAATGCGTCCTCTTTCACCTCAGAGGAGTTATCTTGACCTCCTCTGATCATTCATAATATTTAAACCTTCAAAATAGCTCCATGTGAAGTCACTGACACATTTTAGTAAGAGCCTGTTCTGACATTTAAACGTGCACAACTGATTTAAAAATATCATAGTTTAAAATTCAACATATTAAGACCCCAAAATCCCGAGGAATGCGCTCCCCTGTGCACCATCTGAAGATCAGTTCTGACTTGCCGGAGCGAGATTGGGATCTATTATGGTAACAGGAACACTCACAGCAACTGTAAAGATTCATACTGTACGCGGATGATGACTGACACCTCTTCTTGCACAGCCAGCTGGTGCGCTCCAGCCACACGGCGCTCATTACGCACGACTGGCACCGGTGGAACAAGCGCGATAGTGTTCCTGAAAAACTAAATGCATGCTGGTGTTTTGAGACGGCTCAAGCGTGCTGTGTGTCAGGCTCTGTGCTTCTATAATCGAGACAGTGAGACGCATGTGGAGCTGGTTGTTATAAGGTAGATGTTGCCAGCTGTTTTCATAGCAGAGAGATAGGTTTCTGATTTGAGATAGTGTGCCCTGAGGGGAATGAGTTTTTCTTTAGATAAGACTGGCACTGCTTTATTGGTGTCATTACAAGAGGAAAGAGGATGAGAGAAAAAGAGAGTCCATGTGTGGCTGCATCTGCATGGACGTCAGGGTTTTGGTTGAGATGTATCAAAAGTCCAAAAAGGAAGTCTGCTTGTGTGTTTATTTTTGCTCCAGTGACTTAAGAGCAGCTGATACTCTCCACACACACACAGAGGTGACTTCTTATCAGCCGTGTCTGTCAGTGCCACAAGTTGGGCTGCAGCTGGGGAAGCGTGTGTGTCTGTGTGTTGAAAGGAGGTTGTGTTCCTACCTATTCCTCGCAGAGGACTCGGGGCCTTTATGACGTGATAAACATCTGGAACAGAATAAGAGTCACTCACCAAGTCAGCCACTAATCCCGTGGGTCAGATTGGTTTCCTGTAGACACACATGGCACATGCATGTGCACACACATACACACATGCCTGCACGCTGCAGCTGTCAAGAAATGATTTTGATTTGGTCCAGTGTTGCAAAACAAAAACTCAAGATGCTTTCAACGTGTAGTTTGTGCAGCACATGAGACACATCTGTCAAATGCCATCCAATAACCGAATTAAAAGCCAGTTTTATAGAGTTATATGGAGAGTGTTAATACTGCCTTCGAAAATGTGACTTGATTGCCCAAGCAGACTCTATGTACACTGCACACACTGAGGCAAAATTCAATCAGATGAAAGTTTGCCTCCTAAATGTGATTCAGAAATTGCAGCAATCGAAGCGAGCAAATTTCAGTTTAGAGAGTAAATGCACAAAGCTAATGCGCGCACAGTCGTACAGCTGTTATGTCTATTACGCTCACTTTCTCACTAAGGAGCACCCTGCTTCTGAGAATGCTGTATAACCTGAACACACACACACACACACACTTATCAGCTGAATCTCAAACACTTTATCACACAGGGACAGGATGAAGCAGATGTGTGTACTATAAGCACAGACTCACACCAGCAAACAGACAGAAACAAATATATTATCTGCACCGTCATAATCCACCAGCGCTTAAACGCACATGGACCACGAGGCTGAGGAATCCCTCTGTTAGAGAATGACTAGGCCCACCTGCATGACGTGATCCTCGCTGCAGCTCTGCACAGGGACCCCGAGGGCCTGTCAAACACTCTGACTCTTCTATACTCTATCAACCTCAGGGAAAGGGGGGGGGGGTTTCTTATGTAACAGTGACACAAACACACTGTAGCACCTCCGCTGGGGTCTGGATGAGTAATCGTCTCCGCTCATTACGATGCCGGGGCAGGGAGAAAAGGCTTTGTTCCAGAATCAGATGGCTGCGAGCTGAAAGACAGTGGCACTGTGTTGAAGTAATTGATAAGCGGGATTTCAGTAATGGGGTTTTCAAGATAGATTTATGGGGAAGGACGGGGAGAAGTTGATGGATTGATAGGCTTCAGTCTCGAGCATTTAAAGGAGAGAATTAAAAACTGGAAGAAAGGAGGGAATATTCCTTAAGAGTGGTGGCAGAATGATTTCGGAGAAAGGTTGGCACAGAACCTAATGTTCCACAGTTTCCTCTTTGTGTCTCTCTCAGTCGTCAATCTACGTCTTCTGTCTGAGTGTCGTACCGTAGATCGATGCATGGAGCAGCTCACTGGATGAGTCAGGACTCCAGCACACAGTGTAGAGGAAACTTCTTACCCCACCAACTGGAGCTAATGAGAAAATAAAGAGGATATTCAGCATTACTAATCCGCCAATGTATGTGCACTGTATGTGGTGACGGGCAGGCCAGCAGCCTCCTACAAGCATCCAGTGATTGGCCGATTTATTTACCTAAAGCTGACTCGTGTTACTTTTGGCTGTACTGTGCCGAGATGAAGGTGAGGATTCCTGGTGGGGTACATGAACGTGGGTGTGTATGGGAAAGAGAATAGTAGGTCGATTTTGTGCGAGTGTGTTGCTCCCAGTTGGACGCACTGTAGAGGGAACAGACCCTGTTTTGTCTGGACCGGCGTGGAGGTTGGTGTTTGAGGGTGTCACTCAACGTATAGCTGCAGCTACTAAAACGTGCAGACCTTTCAGACGTGGACCGACAGCCTGTCATGGGCCCTTTCTCACACTTTCTTAATCTCTGTCTCGCACACATACATACTGACATCACCTCGACCGATGCGGCTACTTTGCCAAAAGGCCTCAATTTGAGTGATGTCTCTGTCTTGGAAGGTGTGTGTCTTCATGTGTGAATGCACAATCACGCCTGGCTGTGTAGCAGTGATTCCCCTGACGTTCGGCTGAGCTGGAAGGGCTCTGACTGAAACATGATTAAATTCTTAGAAAGGTGGACAGCTCGTTTCGCCTCTGTGGGCCGACCTGACTGTTCACAGGTCAGGGAAACACCAGTGTGAAGCTAAATGACTGAATTAAATGATTAGTTGTCAGTTTTGGACTCGTTTCATAGAAGCGACCGATTCTCTCTCATATTTCTGTCATAGTTTAGCAAAGACCTGAACCTGCCAGAGTTTGAAGCCTGTGTTTGGCTCTCTCTGCTTATTCGCACGCACCATATATCTCTGCAGTGACATTTCAAATACTAGTTGACTTTCAGCAGTGTCATGATCTCAGGGAATGTGAATGCGCTTATGGGAATATGAGTTTTGCTGCTTTTTGATATTGCACGCCATCCTCTTGTAGCTCCTTGGAGCCGAAAAAGCAAAACACAGAGGATCTGTCTCTGCTCTCTCAAATCTTCCAGTTATTGAGATGGATCTTTAAGGATTAGTCAGCATACACGGTGCGCTCAGTCCTCGTGAATCCTTCCAAGGAAACAAATGTAGTGTACTTTTAAGGACTCTTAAGTACACAGGTCTTCCTCTGTGTTTGTGTGTTGTTACAGTTCCCTGTCCCTCGACAGTAAATCATAAACACTGAACAAGCTTGGTGTCTCTCTGGCTAAACATCACTCTGCATCTCAAAAGAACTCTGTAACCTTAAAACACTCACAAACATTAATTCAACTTGCCAGAAACTGGCGAGCAAAGTGTTGGAGTCGCAGACTGCGGGGCGGTGTCGGGGATTAGACAGGTATGTGTGGACACAGAAGAAGCTTCAGGATATCTCTCCTCCCTCCAGTTTCTGTCACATTCGCAGCAGTGCTGGCCAGGAAGTGGGTGAAAGCAAAGTGTTTAAGTGAATTCAAATAAAGTTTAGCTTGGCTGGTGACCACTTGGTAGAAGTAGTGCTTCTAAATACACTTCATATGTATATAAAGAACAAGAGAGAGAAGTCGCAGAGGGAAGTGATGCGGAGAGCGAAAGTGAAAGAATGACTACTGTGAGAGGGCCAAGGAACCTCCAGCTCCATGTAGACAATACAAACACAGTGTGCTTCACTCATGCTGTACCTGACCTCTGACAGACAGACTCAAACATACACACAGTACAAACAGTGGGTGTTATACTTTGCTAATTAGGAGTTTTGATTGGATAGAGACTGACGTCTTTGATCTTAAAGAGGCTCTATGCAACACTATGGGTGTATTTATGATTCAGAGTCTGATTCAAGTTAACAGCTAAGGGTGCTTTCAGACCTAGAGTTGTCTTGCTTTGGTCTGAATCAGGGACTCATTTTGTTACACAGTTGTGTAATTGCCTAGAGTTGGTTCGTGTTCTCACGGCAGCATTTTCAAGTGGACGAGATCAAATGCCTTGTGTGAGAAAGCTGCTCTTGATTGGTCAGAAATTTCATGCAGGAAAAATCCAGGAAGTAAACAAAGCATTGAAGAAGAGTACACTTGCAAGATAAATGTGACACTTTCTAATGTCACAATGGAGGGACAACTACGCAGGTTGATTTTAGCGCTGCTCATCGTGGACTATATTGCTGTCATTGTTCATTTTAGTCAAACCATACAGTTTGAAAACGAGGCGCGGCTCCAACTAGAAAACAATGTTTTGATGCATTGGATGTGCTGAATGTGCATATTAAGGCAGTACAGGAGGAGGTGCACATTAATAATCCTTCAGGACTGTAACATGCTCATGTTTAACCCAAACAATGTGTCATGTGACTGCAGTTGGTTCAGATCCAGGTCGGAACACGTTCTCACCACAAACGAACCGCACCAGAGTTTGTTTGTAACCAGACTGAGACCACCTCTTCAAGAAGGTCTTGGTCCGGTTGTTTTGGTGCGCACCTGAGTGTGATTGCTG